CCTTTGCTGTATTCTGAGGTCAAGCCAAATGGTTACTCGAATCCCTAGAGAGCCATATAATTTTTTGATTTAATTTGATTTTTTTATCTGATTTTTGATTTAAAATCTCACAAATGACCCTAACCACTGGGGATTTTCAAAAAAAATGCTAAAATTTGTTCATTAGTGCGAAGAAATGGGAATTCTTCTTACTGAAGCAAATCTTATCGTGAAATCAAGAAACAAATTAACCAAAGCTTTCTGGGAACGAGGAAATTTTGCTTTATTTTCTGGATTTCCATTTTTTTTTGTTTTATTTTAGAAATTTCCACAATTAGGGAATGGATTGTAAGATTAAGTAAAGATATTTTTGGTTTTATTCACTTGTGAAGATTACTGTAGATTGAAATATGGGATTAGGTTTTAAATGGAAACAATTCAATGTGTTTACAGGATTTATTCGGAATTCGGTGATCTTTTAAATGGAAACAATTCAAGCGGAAGTTTTTTTGGCTTAAAACTAGAAATGGTAATTTCGATTTTACAGCCTGAGATACTAAAGAATGAGTAGAAAGTTAATGCTGAAAATTGAGCAACGCGAAACGAGATGCGTTTACAGGATTTATTCGGAATTCGGTGATCTTTCTTTCAATGATTTCTTTCAATGATTTTTTTCAATGTTTCCTTCGAATGTTTCCTTCGAATGTTTCCTTTCAATGTTTCCTTTCAAGGTTTCCTTTCAAAGACTCACTAACGGTAATTTCGACTTTCAAAATCTTTCAAAATCTTTCAAAGACTTTCAAAATTTCTATGATCTTTTCTTCTTTTACGATTCATAAATATCCATTTGTTTTTTCGAATTCGAAAAACCCAAAATTAGCCTGAAAACTCTTGACGTAAACGAGCAAAAATCGTGGCCGAATTTTGCCACAAATAAAAGATTCTAAAGAATCCGATTTCAAAAAGGAATTTTCGAGATTTTTGAGAAAAATCCCACTAAATTATTTAAACTTATTGTGGGGAAATTCGAGAAGTATTTGTTTCAAAGTGAAGAGAAGTCGAGAGACGGTAAAGAGCCCCAAAAAAAAAGAGGCATTTTCAGGGAATTTCCCTGGGAATCCGTGTGGGATTTGCGCGAGATCAAGAAACGGATTGAAAATATAAAATATTGAAAATGGCTCGAAAACTTTGAAATTATCAATTTGAGAGAATTTGGAGAAATTTGAGAATTTGGAGAAGCACACCCCTCCTGGCGCACTTGATTTCCCATTTTCGAGGAAACTTAAGCATTAATAGAGTCAGATTGCTGACCGATTCTACTCGTGGTTATGCTTCTTACATTGTTTTTAAAGCAATTAGGAGTCTTGTCTCTTAAGCGGAAGCTCAAAGGTTCAATCACGCTGGCAAGATAAAAAATGTTTCTTTTTCTCATCCAAATGGGTTCTTTTTTCTTTTACAACATTTCGAGTAATAGGGGTAATAGGAGTAATTGGCCGCAATGCCATAAAATTGTGTGTTTAGACCTTTATTTCTTATTATGTATCCTTTTTTTGTATCACATTATTGGTTTTCAATAAATTTTTTATTTTTTAATGTGAATGCATTTGCACTAATACAATAAAGCCAATAAAGCCAAAAGGGAAAAATTTTCAAAATTGATTAGAGCTATTGATAGATTAGAGCTATTGATAGATTAGAGCTATTGATGGATTAGAGCTATTGATGGATTAGAGTTATTGATGGATTAGAGTTATTGATAGATTAGAGCTATTCATAGATTAGAGCTATTGATGGATTAGAGCTATTGATGGATTAGAGCTATTGATAGATTAGAGCTATTCATAGATTAGAGCTATTGATGGATTAGAGCTATTGATGGATTAGAGCTATTGATAGATTAGAGCTATTCATAGATTAGAGCTATTCATAGATTAAACTCGAAACTCGGATTCATTTCATTTAAACTTTTCGATTCTAAATTCAAATCAAAACCCATAAAAACTCAAGTACGAGGTTTTTGAGACGAAAAATTGTTACTCAATGCTCTTTTCGATGTGCATTTAATCACCAAAGAAATGGGGAAAGTTTTCGAGAAAGTTTCCCTCAAGCAAAGCTGAAGCTTTAAGCGAAAAGAAGCTTTATGATTTCTCAAAAGAAAAACAACATTTTTGAATGGAGTTCCGAAAAAATGACACTTAATTTTACGCATATCTTCGCCGCAATCTGAAGCGTATCACTCTGAAAAGGGTTTTTTGCAAAATCTCTTGGGATTTTTGGGAATTTTGAGATCCGCCCCGAGATCACCTGATAAAAGTTTGTCTAATGCTGAAGCTACGATAGAAGAAAAGCTACAAAAACATATAGAAAAGCAATATTTTTACCCACCACGTCATGGCGACACTTTTGATATGCCGTCTTTAAGAGCTTAATTCCTGAAATGTTCTAAGATTTGCAAAAAAAACTACTACTCATTCGCAAAAACCGATTTCACCATCGTGTTCAGCAGTCAAAAAAACGTTTTGTCTTGATTTTCAGGTCAAGATTTCATTGCCAGGTCTGGTCAGACAGGCAAGGTATGTCCAGAAGTCAGTCCTAAGCCTGTAGGCTTAAGGCTCGATTAGAACAACCCGGCAGTGAGATATTTGATATTTGAATAGAGAATTTGAAGCTCATAGAGAAGCTGAAAGGGAACTCAAAAGTATTGCAAAATTATTGCAATACTATTTCAATGATGACCTGCAAAAATGTGAAACTCAAAAGCAAGGATGAAATGAAAATTTCGCCCTTAAAAAACGGCCCTGTTGATGAGAAAATTTTAAGCATCAACATAAAAGTTTGTCTTGAAAACATATTCGAAGAGATCTCCAAAAGAAAAAAGTTTTCGAAGTCATTCGAAGTTTCAAATACTTTTCCGAGGAACATAAAAAGTTGGAATCGAATGAGAAATGCAAATTTATTGGTTTGTTGTGGGTTTCCCGTTCTCTCTTTTCCACACTCATTTCCACACTCATTTCCATGTCATCGAATCATCCATTTCCCCCCTCTTGCTAATTAGGTGAAGGGAAATGGGCGAAGAGGAAAAGAAAGAAATTTGACATCATTTAGAAAGTAAATGATTTCTGAAAATTACAATGGTTTTTTTTGTTTTTAAAATTGCTCAATACAACATTCGGGGTTGCAACATGTTTTGAAAATTGCTCAATGCAACAAAACTGAAAGTAAGACGGTTTTTTGAAAGGATTTCAAAAGGATTTACAAACTTTGAATAACAAATTCTCTTGCTTCAAAAAAGCCTGGGCATTTCGGTAGTTTAGTTTTTTTTTTACAGTATCCAACTCTTACAGTAAGCCTTGAACAAGTACGGTTCTATAGGTCTTACGGTAGCTTGGTAGCTTGGTAAACTTTGGGAACAAATACTCTTTAAACCAACGGGTATTACGGTAACTTGGCGTTTTATGGTAGCAGGCTTTACGGTATCCTTCTTACGGTCCTACAGGTCTTACGATAGCTTTTTTTCCTGATGTTCAAAGTATAAAGTTAAACAAATGGTACACGAAACTCCAAAAAGCCGACTCTAGTTTCAAAAAGTTTGTGCTGTTTTTATTAACATATTAACAAATACTCTTACGTTAAAACCAACGGGTATTACGGTAGTTGGCGTTTTACGGTACCAGGCTTTACGGTATCCTTCTTACGGTACTACAGGTCTTACGATAGCTTTTTGTTTTTGTTCAAAGTATAAAGTTAAACAAATGGTACACGAAACTCCAAAAAGCTGACTCTAGTTTCAAAACTTTGAGCTGTTTTTATCAAAATCAAAAACAAAATCATAGACGCAAAAAAAAAATTTTGCGTTAAATAGCCAAATCTTTCGTGAGTTCTTTTTCTCAAAAGCACAAGTGAAGGTAATTTTTGTTCAAAGTATAAAGTTAAACAAATGGTACACGAAACTCCAAAAAGCCGACTTTCTCGTCAATTTCTCAATGTTCTTTTTTCGTTAAGTAAATAATTGAATAAAAATCAAGTTTATCAAAGGTTTAGCTGCTAAACAATGCTCTGGAGTTCAAAGTGTGAGCTATCAAAGGTAGGCTGGTTTTCGAAATGTTTAAAACCCGAAATTTTGATCTCATTCAAACATGAAGCAAAAAACATTCACACAGCAAATGGGAAGGGAAATTTACTGCTTCAAGAAATGAAAGCTTCTTTCTTTCTCTCCCATGCACACAAGATACTCATCACGATGTTCTTATTCTGTCAAAAAGCCTTTTCTTCGGCCTCCAACTCAAAAGCTCCGCCAAAAAACGGGTGGGAAGTTGACGGCCAAATTAGCCTCCACAAAAAAAAAACATTTCTCCCCTTCCTCTCAAAAGCGAAGTTAATCCCGGAAAGCTTTCCGAGTCTCAAACGCTTATCAAAAATATTTAAACTTCAGCAAATTTGATGCATTCATAACTTTGAAAGTTCATAATAGTGAAAATATAGTGAAAAAGCCTTTCATATATCTGAAAGTCAAGTGTAGAAAATCAAGAGAATTAGTAGAGCCTAAAAAGTATCGATGCCAATTAAACCGGGAATTTATGCCAAACTAATAGCAAAACAATTCCCCTATGTATCAGTAAGTCACCTCTTTTCCCCTTATTCTTATTCCAGTCGTGCGTACTCACTCAACTAATTGAATGTCGACGTGTCTCGGTCTCTTCTCAATGAGATCGCATCTAAATGTAAGACTTCCCCTTTACTTGAACATCATTCATTCTATTAAAGCTATCTTTTCCGCAATAGGAAGTCGTTTGCTATGACCTGGAATTAAATGCTCAATCCTTTTACCTAATACTCGAAAAAGTCACAGTCAAAATTTACGAATTTTTATTAATTTCAGCAACAAACAACATAATTGAGTTATGAAAATGAATGAAACATGAGCAGTAAAGCGATGCGGCTAGATAGAATATTTTTTGACGGTGATTTGTAGCGTTCCCTCTAAGGGATGTTGAGGCTCATTCAGATGAAATTCACCGTTATCCACATTTTCCATGTTCAGGTAGAGATTCCCAACTAAAAGAACCAAATTAGATAAAATTATAACGACTCATTTACCCAAATGAAATTTCGAATCCAGGATGCGATTGCCAGATGGTGTCTTTTTGGGAGTCTTCGGCGATTTTGTAGAAAATGAAAAAGCCGCGTTGAGGCTTTTCATGGATCCGCTCTTTTTTTCGTTTCTGTTCATAACGTTTGCTCGAGCGCTAAAATCGGCATTTTGCAAAATAATTAAAGTGTTTTGTCTCACCAAAGCATAAACTTCTAAAAGACAATCAAAATCCGAACAAATGTTCTCAATCTTTAAGTATTGATTGTATTCAATAGCGCCATCCTAAACATATAATTTAAACACTACTTATTGACAAAAATATCGCTTGCCGCTTGAATTCCATCTTCAGTAGAGAGCAGAGCTGTATGAAGTAAAGTTGAGCCACATTTGAGCAGGATTATAAAGTAGTAAGTGATGTTTAAGTCTAAAGAAAAGTAAAGTTATTCTAAATATTAAATAATACCATCATAATGATTCACATATCCCTTCAAAAGTTCTTTGAGAGAAAGAGTCTGAATCGAGAAAATTGCAGCATTCCGCGTGGAAGAACGGAAGCGTCAGGCTCTTGGCGATTTATTCGCTCAAGTTCACCGACCAACACGTTCCGGGTTTCTGTTGCAACAAGAAGGGCACGTTGACCTAAAATTATTTAATTTCACTAAAAGAGAAAACCGGGTGAAGTATGGCCTACAAAAAACAAATGCATATTTAGCAACTTTACAACAATTACGCCAATTAACTACCTTCGACTTCCTGACGGCTTCCACAGAACTGTCCAGACTGCCGACAATACACCAAAGCTCGAGAAGCTTGATGAATATGCTGATCTTCAACTGCTATCGCTTGCCGAAGTTGAGCCTTAGAAAATTAGTCTAGAAAACAGGCGCAAAGCCTACCATGACTCTTTCCATTTGTTTGTTCCGTTCTACTTGCAATTCAACAACTTCCGGTTCTGGTTCAATTTTCTTAAAACAACACGTAAAACATGAACATTCTTAAAATACTTTTGGCGGTGTGGGCGGTGATTTTATAACAATGACTTCAGCCTTCTTCTTTTCCTTTCCCTGACGTTGTTTTCGATAAAACGATAGTGAATGAGCCTAAAACAGATAGAAGTTTTAGGCTAATTCTATTGAAAACTCACCAATGCAGGGTCATTTTCTGAAATTGATAACGTCTCGATGTTTGAATGAATAGAATCTGAAGTTGTCTGCGGAGATTCGGGAGTAAACTGCTAAATCTGTTATAATAAAAATGAATGATTTATACCTCTTCGCTGACTGGTCCTTCCATGGTCACATTGACTTCGTCCGGATCTGGCAAAGTAGATGGAGCTAAACTCAACGTCGATGCACTCGGTCGATTGTTTTCCTCCAAAAAGCTTTTTGATTGATGTTTAGGAGCATTGATACAGTCAAAGACCTAAAAAAACTTTATAACGAAATTTCAATAGGCAAACTTTATCATCGAAATCCATGCCGTTAAGCATTCCTCTGCTTCCATTTGATGAAGGCAAATGACTGACTTCTTCTTCAAACACATCTCCATAGCCATTTTCATTTTCAAGAGCTTCTTCATAACTATAGCCATAGTAGGACCTTGACTAAAACACTGGATAATAAAGTAGTTCGTTAAAAGGCTTACATGGTAATATGCCGAGTATGACCTTTCGTTATTGGGCTTGTAGATCGAGGCATAATTCTTGTAGGAAGATGTGTCCATTGCAATATGTGGCATAGACGTAAACTAAAGCATTGACTTTTAAATGGCATAGACATTTGCAGTTTGCAAACCTTGCTCACAATGCTTCTTCTTTCCGAGACTTTTGTGTTCGAGATTTGTTTAGCCACTTCCAGCAGCTCATCCTCTGTAGCGTCAGGGTGTAGAGGCGTGCCAGTTTTTGAAGACAACTAAATTCAATATTTAAAAAAGCAACCACGGAATTTTCACGAATAATGTCAATCAAAGTATTACCTCCCACCGTGAGCGCAATGTGTCGAATCCAGTCGGTTTAGCACTCAAGCTGATTTTCTAAAGTACTATTTTTCTATTTCAAACCGACAAAATTTACTTGTCTCTTTTCGCTGAATGCGTCCATCCGATGTTTTTACGTTTCTAAAATAAAAGCTTAAAGTCATAATAGGAAAACAACAATGAAAAAGGACAAATGTCTTGGCGTGATTCATAATCAGAGAATGCTTCGATTCATCAAAACATTTTCGGGGAGTGTCAACGATGTTAGTGAACCTTTGAAACAGCTAAACGTATACTCTAGACAAAAGATGGCTATACATCACTTTGTTCAATGTTTGTAAATTTTATCTGGAATGAGAAGTAGAGGTCTTTCACTCTAAAGCCATAATTTCACCGTCACTTCTCACATTCAACCCTTCAACCACCACATAGAAATGTATCGGCAAGCCACTCCACCGTGGAAAAATCCTTTACGAATACTCTCTTGCGAGTGAAATATTGGGACTTTTCTCAGCTTTTTATACTCGAGAGCTACCGTATCCCGGTTCGACAATTTTTGTGGATATACACAGTTGTTTTGCTGAACATCTTTGACTTGGTCGTTTTATAACTATTTAAGAAACTCTCTTGTTTTAGTTTTTTTTTACTTTGTAACTTTAAACGGGTGCCTCTTCTTGTGACTATGAATTGCTATCTTCTTTAAACCCCTGGTTCTAGGTATTGCAGACCAAGCAACGTTCCAGCGCTTGACCCGTCAGCTCATACAAATCAATATCCGGGTGGAAAACGTTTTAATCGCTTTTTATCAGTTTGGTTTACAATAATTTTCCCCGAACTTCTCTCAAATTCTCGTAATGAAAAACCCCCTCTTTCCCTTTTTCCGCGGAGAAAATCCGCCGCTTTTTCCTACTGCATCACCATTCGCGGCGAGACGCCACTCCCGTTTTTGTGTTGGGAGTTTGTTGGTTGTTTTGGGTAGGTGGAGGCTTCTTGCATCAGACTTTCGCCGGCTATATTGCACAATTTATCATCATTGCCGCGAATTTATACCACCGATCAGCTGACTAATTTCCTTTCTGCGAACTTACCCATTGCAACCAAAATTTTGGTCGCACTCGTACATCTATGCGGTTTGAAAATTGAACCTTTGAACTCCCTTATCGTTTTAATGTTTTCGAAAATGTTTTTCGAAATTTTGGATGTCACCTTTTCTATTTTAGATTGAACGAAATTCACTCTTTCGAAATCGGCGTATGATCTCCCGTTAATTGAGGAGTGCTCACGAACTTGTGAAGAATCAAACGCTTATGACAATGACGATGAAGACTGTCGATGGGACGAATGCCCTAGATTGTCCCGTACTCACCGACCCAACGAAGCAAAATGAAGTGAGCTTTTGTTTTCTTTTTTTGTTAGATTAAAATATGAGAAGGACTTGTGACACTTCAATTACTTTTTGATTTAGGTCTACTCGTACTTGGAGAATCTCAAGAAAGACAATGCTGGCTGGCGTCGGTCTGTCGAAAACATCGTCGGCAATCTTATAAGGTTGGAAATTGGAAATAAGAAGCTATTTGCTATTTTTTTTAGAAACCATGAGGAGCATTTTCTCTTGCTGCAAGTCGTAGAGGATTACTTGCGAAAACGATACTCTCAGGCCACGATCGAAGAAATAGAGATAATTCGAACTTTCCTCAGGAACTGGATGCAAAAATTGGTGTGTGGCTTGTTATTTTAATGCAAACATTGTTATTTTCAAGGCTTCTGGAACTTTTGTGCCCTCATTTCTCATCAACAAGATGGGTCATATATTTTCGATCGTATTTTCTGTCGATTTTCCCCTACGCTGGCCTCGCTTTATGCAAGAAGTGTTCCTAGAGAGGTAAGAAATTATTGGCTATCAAAGTTTTACCTTCCATTTTCTTTCAGAGGTTTTCCCCATCAATCAAATGTTCATTTCTACCTAAAAACTCTGATTTCAATTGACCAAGAGGTTGTGGACCGAGATATTGAGCGTAGCAAAGAGGTATGTGATTGACTTTAATAAAGTTTAATTCCTTTCTTTTAGCTTTTTGATAGAAACACGAAAATCAAGGATGCTATGCGAGAACTCTGCATCAAAGACTGCGCGGAAAGTTGGTGGCAAATTCTGGTGAATCCTCAAACACGATAAATATTTTAAACCTTAGTTTATAGGAAAATCCAAACCTTTCTGCCGATCATTCATTAGTCTTCGATGTTGTTGCTGCATACATTGATTGGATTGATTTGGAACTGGTCGCTACTGAACGATTCGTGCCACTTTTGATTAAAGGGTTGTCAAATAACGAATCTTCAGAGGTATTTTTTAAAAATATTTGTACTGTTTAAAAAGTTGCTTTAGGCAGCAGTAAGAGCTGTTGAAGGACTTGTGCAAAAGGGTATGCCTGCTCAGAAGAAACTGTCACTCACTTCTGCTTTGCTGGAAGTCATCAAATCTAACAGCCTCATCGAAGTTAAAGAGGTTAGGATTCTCTTTGTTAATAAGATGTAGTTTTGCACCCGTTACTTGATTTCACCAATTAAACTTTGTTTTTAGGATAGTGATGAAGATGATTTGGATAGAATTGGAAATCTTATTGCCTTGATCGGACATCAATTGATCATTGTCAACTCACAGTCAGTTTCAAATCTTTATTCACAATCTATGGAAGTTTTTCTTGTGAGGCACTTTTTCTCGCAGGCTTTCCGGCTTTCAAATCGGTTCGAGTTTCCGCAGCCGCTAAAGGAAAATCGTTCGCAAGTTCGAGTCTCGTTGTCATAGTACCTGAATAATTTTTGCATAGTCAATATATCTCACTCACCACATAATTCTCGCCCTGCCACAATTTCCTGTTAATGGTGGCAGAATACAGACATCGGGCTCGGGAGGTGCAGTTGTTGTTGGGCTGGTTTGAGCTTGAGCTACGGGGGTGATAAAAGGCTTTTGTGTGGTTTCAACGATTGGTGGTGGAGGAGTAAGACTAAAACTTAAAATTTGAGTAGAAAAAGTTTTTGGGGATACTTCAAAAGCTTCAGAATAGATCCAAATGGGTCGTTTGATCCTGCAGCACCAGTTTGACCAAATAGTCCGCCAAATAGCCCAGTGGTGGTGGCTTCTGTCGTTAACCATTGTGGAGCTGACGTTGTAACTAACTCAGTCGTGGGAAATGTTGGGCCTTCCTAAATGCTTAATCCGTTCCCTTACAACTGATGGAAACTCACCGTTTTGTCGATATGATTTCCTTGACCGAGTGCTGAACCAAATAAGTTTGAAATACTTGATAAAGGATTTTCTGCTAGGACACATTGCGCAACCTGAATTCTGTAAAATTTTACCAATCTAGAAAAATTACCTCCTTTTCGACTTTGCATTGTTTTGGGAAATCACAAATTAATGAGTCACATGGAGAAAATTGAGCTGTAGCTATGGATAGTAGTAATAGCAAGCCAATAATAAAGGAAAACATTTTCATTTTTGAACAGACGTTGCACACAGTGAAAGTTTGGGTTTGCTTTCTGTTTTCGCACAGTGTATTAGCTATTTTGTATTGCCTTGGGGGATTCCCTCTCTTTGAATAGTCGTTTGATCTGGTTTGGCAAGCCTTTTTCGCTGAGTCATAAAAGATCCATTTGCTTGCGAGAAAAAGTGTGGTGAATTACCTTGAAGGCTAACATCAAAGACACATTTCAAACTTTGGAAAATAGTTCCACCATTTAGAATTGAGAAGGAAGGTGGAACAACGGCTGAAGCTATCCATGCTCTAACTTTGGTCAGACAACTTATCCCAATTGCTCTTCGTTTGCTTAATGATGAAAATCCTGAAATTAGTGAGGTAAGAATCCCTCGCTTAATAAAGTTGCAGCTTTTTTTTAGATTGTGATCGATTTCTTAAGGGTCTATGTGATGCTTATTCGCTCTAGTGCTGAACAGGTTTGTGGATCAAATCGAAGCCAATTACCATGTTCTAGGAACACGTCGCTACAATGGCTCAAATAGTCAATACGGCACTCAGGCGTTATACAATGCCCTCGGAGTTGAATCCAGATGGAGAGGGCGAAGATGAAATTCACTTTCATGATTATCGCAAGCAACTACGACAACTTATCAACCCAATTGGAACAAAAGTGGTTGTTTAAATCAAGAACTAGAATTAGTTTTTCGATGTCCGAATAAAACAATTATTTTAGCGTGTGCAATTGGTCGTCGAGCCTATTGAGCAAATGGTGTCACAAGTACTTTTGGCTGGTACAGCGAGCAATATTCGTTTGGTGGAATCAGTAGTACAATTGGTCTACGCGCTTTCTGAGATGATACCGGTTTGACATTTCAAACTTACAGGAGGGATGTAAAAATTTTAGTCTACTTTCACTCAACAAACAAAGGAAAAAGACGTATGGCTTGTTCGTGCCACGCAACTACCCTTGGCTTTATGTAAGTGCATTAAATGTATGCAAGACCTATATATGTTTTAGTGCAAGCGATACCTCTTGATGGCCGTTCTGCACAAGTTCACATACAGTACTTCGAAAATGCTTGCAGGTTGGTATTTGGTTAAATATTTGTTCACTTGACTTTTAGATATGAAAAGATTGTGGGCACATCTCCAGATAAAATTGTCCCAATTGTGACAGAAGCATTTTTAGATGAAAGAGGAGTTAGCTTTCCGAATGAAAAGGTTTGTTCTTTTGTGTATTTGCAATCATGTATGCGTTTAGGTTCGAACCCGGGTCGTATACCTGTTTGTTCGTTTTGTCAAAGCTCAAAAGCAGGCCCTCAACCCTCTGGTTTCTCAAGTAAGTAATCTCTTCTCTTTTATTGAGTACATCCCATTTTAGATTGTTCCTCGAATCGCTCCACTTCTTGCACCTGGCTCAACTGGTCTTTCTGAAGATGACCAAGGATTTTTATTTGAAGTAACAGCAACGCTCATAATCTTTGGAAATCTAGAACCCGCGCAAAAAGTAAGTTTTAAAGATTACATTGAAGAAACCTTGTAAGTTTAGCGGCAATTTCTTGAAGAACTCGCAACAACAATAGCTTCCCGTTTTCAACAAGGCTTGGTCGAATTAGCGGCTACGCGAGCAAGACGCGATAAGGCAGCAACGGAACAAATGATGCAATCACTTTCAGCCATTGTTACTCATGCAAGGTTTGTGTGTAAAGGTGTCAGTCTTTGATAGAACCATATTCAGTCGTTTGTCAAAGGCCTTTTCAAAAGAGGTAACAATGGTTGCTCATTCATGCTCTGATCTATTCATGAAGCTACTTACGGTATTTTTTTTTATTGAACGAATTTACACTTAACTATTAATTTAGCTTTTCTTGGAAGCTTTGTCTCCGACCAACGTCTTCTTGCTAGAAAGTGTTCGCCAACTTACCCATCGTTTAGTAGTGTGCATAGAACAAGAGGTTGGTAAAAATCTTGCTAAGAAATGTTAAAAATGTTAAATCTTTAGATGCTTGTTCTACTGCCAAGTGTTTTGGGAAAACTTGGGGAGTGCAGTCAAGATTTAGACTCAATGCAACACTTGTTGATTCTTTGTCATCAAATTGTTTCAAAGCATGGGGTAAGTTGATTTTTTTCAAGTCGTTCTAGCTGATTTACCCAATTTATTGTTAACTTTTAGAAAGCCGTTTTGAAGTCCGGTGTTGATTTTGGGATGATATTGACAAATGCGGCCCGATTCTCGGCCGACCCAGAAACGCAGTCAAAACTTCCACAAGATGAAGCCAATAAGAGAGCTTTGGTTAGTTGAACTTAGGCTTTACATTCATATCATTTGTTTAGCTGTATTGTCAACGGGCATTCGGACAATTCTTGTACAGCGTCGTCTCCAGTGAGACACTGACTGATCTTGCTCCAGGTAAATTGGTAGATGTTTTTCCACCGGCATTTAACTTTAGGAGCTGCATCTGATATGATTGTTGAAGCCGCTCGTCAGCTCTCGTTCTTAGCCGATTCTGCAGTTCAAAAGGCGTGCATTATGAGCCTAAGCAAGTGTGCGGTTCTCAGCGTAACGGTAATGGTTGATTTGTTTTTTTTTTGTATAGAGAAGATTTAGCAAAATGGAGGACGCTGGTTTGAAATCGGGATAAGAACGATATTAGAAGTTCCGGCTCTTCCGCACATCTCTTCAACAGATGCAAGCAGTCAATTGGTTTGTGTTTAAAATATGAAGAATCTCAAGTCTATTGGTGCTACATTGTTAGATATCGATATTAACTTTAGCATTGCTTTGATTAATAAGGTTAATACTATTAATTATTTAGGTAGTTCACGAATGCTCAATTGGACTACTAGCAATGCGAGCAGCAGCCACTCCCCAATTTGATACTATTGTTGCTGGTCTGATGCCCGAGGAAATGAATAGGGTAAGAAAATGTTTTTTCATTTTTATATGCTTTTGTAGAACCTACACACATTGCTTACTACGATGAAGGGTCGAGATTTGGACAAAAGCTTGATCGCCTTCTACGCTCCATTGAAACAACAGCAACAATAACACAGTTGATGAGGGTGACATTTTTGTGTTTGTAGTTAGTCACATTTTTACTTTTGAGATTTCTATGTATTTTGTGAACTTTCAAATTTCTTTCTTTTTTTTTGGCTTTATGTCGGGTTCTCTTTTCCACCCTAGAGTGGCTGTGTGTCATGATTCTCGGGGTCGCAAATTACACGGGTAGTTTTTAAAGAGTGGTGTATCCAAAAATCTAAAAAGAGCATTACATTTTTTAAAGTGTTCAAATTTGTGTTACTGGCTTGTTTTTTTTCTTAGTGCCCAAATGATTCTGGTGTTTAAGTGCGGCCTTTTCGTTCATATCGTTGAAGAAACTTTTCCCAAGGATAATTCCTACATGTGCTACCTTTTTTTGCCTTCCGGTTCGCTTCGATTGTGATAAGCTAGGGTTTTTGAAAATTCTTTTCATTTTGGCTTCTGTTTCCGTGTTGTTAGTGTTTATTTTTGCAACATTGGCCTTTCAGCATACCCTGATTGCTCCCGAAATAGGCTCTTTCACTACTCTCTCCTGTTTGATCAGTCTTACAGTTTGCACGGATTGACTTGTTCATCGTTTTACTAATTTATTTTTTCCAGAGTTCAGATAAATATATTTTCACTTTTTAGTAACGAAAGAATGCAGTTTGAACATTAGATATCTGGAGTAGAAAGTTTTAAAAGCAATTTGTTTTTGACGAATACCATGATGGTTAAAAGAAAAACGAATGTGAATGATTTTGGGTGGAGTTTGCAATAAAAAGTTTGTGAATGTCCCCAACTTTTCGAATGGAATCTTTATGTGATCCGCGCCTCTTTCATCGCGCCTTTTTCCCCTCTCTCACACGTTGCAAAGCAAAAGAAGGCAGAAGCAGAGAAAACGTGGCAATTTTTGAGGCCGCCTCATAACATATTGGTTTTTGCGAAAATGTTTCGATGAGTAACGAAAATTGTTCCGTTGATCTCGAATTGATTCGGGGAATTATTGATTTTCATTGAAGGTGTTAACAGCTTAATTTTTTAGAACTTTTTAAACAAGCTAGGCAAACACGGGCGGTGTTAACTGCTTAATGTTTGTTTAGCTTGTTTAAAATTGGCAATGCATCCCAAATAGTCTGGTTACTGTTGTTGTTTTAACAAAACCGCTAACACAATTACCTCTTTTTACAGCATGATACTTTTTCTGTCGATCTATGACCAATATTTTTCTGTTTTTGGCATTGTTGACGTTGAAATCCGACGCAAAGTGTTAATTCCATTTGGCTGTTTACACAGACACGGTGATGCTTGTGAAAAATTCCGATCAAGGGGCCACGTTTTGACGGATTTTCACCGCTTTCTATTGCTTCCCACACTTTGCCACAATTATTAAATTTTGATTCTCCATTTTTGATGCTTCATCGTTTTTTTTGGTCTAGCTATGAAAAATGGGTTACAAAATTTCTATTGGTGTTCCCCCACTTTCTTTCCTCTCCACGATAACGATCTAAATGTTTCATAAATTTGATCTTTTAACCTAATTTTTGCATTTGACGCATTTCCAATGTTTAAGATCTTATTACTATCCTATTTAGAAGGAGGAGTCGATCGTCCGGTCTCCACATTCGACATCCCCAACAACACGATCACTGAAGGATGGGCACAAGAGGGGACGATGAAGACGTGCAACCTCTTCTCCACAATGAGCCGGACAACAGCAATCGCCCCGTCAAAATACCGGTTAGTGAGAAAATTGGGCATAGATAGGGATAAATCCAGTTGAACTTCTCTGTAACATATTGAAAGATGTAAACGTTATATAAACGTTTTAAAAGATTTTTAAAAATTTTTTTATGTGGTCCCTGCTTATGTGAATTTTCGGGGAGTCCGAAAAGGATAGAGAGAAAATAGAAGTACATGCTCTTTAATTACAGGTAGGGATAAATCCAGTTGAATTTCTCTGTAATGGATTGAAAGGTATAAACGTTACGGAGAAGTTTCGTAGAATTTTGAGAAAGTAGAAAAACAGAAGCTTGTTCGTTTTTGAAAATGAAATTTTCTTGCTTTTCAAATTCTAGTTCTTCATTACAGTTCAATGTAGTAATAAAAACTCAAAATAGGTTGTCCCAATAAATCGATGTCATGGCTTTGACTGTACAGTTGTTATGATATTTTAAGAAAGCCATTTAAAGCCAATGGCAAAATTAGCAAGGAGAAAACGTCTAAATGACTATGCATTAAAATTCATCGGTTTGTTTCTTCATTATCTCGATGACCATCACTATCTTTTTTCGGGATCTTCGAGTGAAAGGAATGCCTCCTTTAGATTCGAAACCTGGATCCATTCCGATTTTCCTCTAGATTCGTGATTTTTCCTTAAAGCAAAGTTTCTCTTTTACAAAATTCTGTGTTTTCGGGTGGCTAGATTTTTAAATTATACTGTTTGCAATAAACTTTATTCCGTTACTAATGTTTTTTAGATTGATAGAACGGTGGTCAGAGAGAAGGCGAACACGAAAATGCGGACGGCGATTCTCGTTTGGCTCACCCTACAGAACTCAATCCACACTTTGTTGATACGGTTGGTACATTTGGGTTCTATACTTATCAGTTCAAATTTGATTGCTAGATAGAGTAAAAGATTTGCGTTTTATAATTTCTAGACTAATTCAAAGATTTAGATACTCGAGAGCGAGAGAAGTCGATGAGATGTTCACATCAACGGTAGCCGTTTTCTTAACAGAGGTAATGAATAAACCTTTTAGCAAGTAAAACAACAAATGTTGAAATATTAAATTCAAAGTATGCTTTTTAGATTATCAAACTCGTGATGTGTCTAATGATGGTGATATATGAAGAAACGCCGAGAAAGTAGATTCAACCCGTTTAACACTTTAAAGTATTGATTTAAGGTTCTTCTCTACGCTTAACAGCCAAGTCATTAATCAACCTGGGGATACATTGAAGGTTTTAATGCCAGTTTTTTGTTTATCTTATTTTTTTCAGGTCTGCATCCCGGCCATGATCTACACGGTGCAAAACAATTTGTTTTACGTGGCCGCTAGTCATTTGGATGCTGCAACTTTTATGGTGAGTACCTATTTTAGGGTAAAACGCGTGTGAAGTTTTAAAAGTGTTATACGATAACGTTTAGATAACATCTCAAATGAAAATCTTTACGACTGCAATCTTTTCGGTGATCATGTTGGGCCGGAGTCTTAACAAAGCACAATGGGTGAGTACTTATAACAGTAAGCTTGGTAGAAAAAATATGAGAAAGTTTAGGTTGCACTCTTCGTCCTTTTTGTCGGCGTTTCTTTGGTTCAATCACAGACATCGAATGTTGGAAACAGTTCAAACGATCAAAGCCCTGTAATTGGTAGAGTTTTTGTTGGGTTGTTTTTAATTTAATAATTTTTAGGTTTCACTGCTGTGATCGTTGCTTGTTGCCTCTCAGGATTTGCCGGAATCTACTTTGAGAAGATTCTTAAGGTAAATTTTGTTTTTCTTCTTGAAAATCTTTATTCTAGGGATCTGCCCCTGTGTCACTTTGGATGCGCAACGTTCAAATGAGTGTTTTTGCTATTCCAGCTTCACTGATTGCAGTGCTCGTGCAGGTTTGGCTTTTCTGATAACTAGTTTTTAAGCAATATAATTTAAGGATGGAGATTTCGTTCGAGCGCACGGGATGCTTTATGGATTCGATTTCATCGTTTGGCTCACCGTATTCTGGTATGGAATTGGTGGACTTTCGGTGGCTGTTTGCATCAAGTAAGCGATTCGAAGAGTTTATAAAGTTGTACGTATCAATATTGTAAATCTTTAGTCTTAAAATTTTTGGCTCACACTTTGGCTTGGTTAATTCGCCATAATCACCTACACTTTTACATATTTTCCTTTAGATACGCCGACAACATTGCCAAGAACTTTGCCACCTCGGTTGCCATTCTCCTCGCCACACTTGGTTCGGTTTGGTTGTTCGGATTCGTTCCCTCATTGATGTTCATGCTTGGAGCGGCTCTCGTCATTCTCTCGATTTTCCTCTACTCGAATCCGGCTCCATTCATTCAAATTTTTTCCTCCGAAAAGACGATCGACGGATAAAAGCTCTAGGGTATGTTAGTACGTTTAACTTGCTATAAGGTTCAAGTTGATATTCTAGGCCCAATTTTGCTTTAAGTTATAAATCATGCAACTCTTCTGATAATTTTTTGATATATCAGAATCACATCCTTGCTTTATATTGGTAGCTTTTGACGGGTGACAGTCTTGCAAGTCTAAACTACTCTCTTGAGGCCCACACATTTCCTTAGCCCTAATATTTTGTGTGATTCAAAATAGCTTTCTTCATATGGAACATATCTCTTGTTGTTTTTTACATGCAATTATTTTCTTTTTTTTACTGCTAGTGGATGAAATTTCGATTCTTGTGCATTATCAGTCGCTAATTATTTGCCTTTCTCCGATTTAACCCTGTGATACGAGATATTTTTGTGTTTGTTTTTGTGCATTTCTGTCTGTTTTTAATGTGACATTAAAAGGATTTTTTGAATTTTGTGGAATAATAAAGTTTGATTGAAGATCTTGAAAATTTAGATTTTGATGGGGGCATGCTTATCACATTACAAAAATACATCTTATGAAAGTGGTGAAGTTTTTATGGGTAATTCAATGTTCAATTTCATAGATCAACTTTGCTAAGCTTATGGTAACTTTTAAAGTTTTCTTTTAGAAAACGTATTTTGCATAGAAAAACCACTTGACCAGCACTGTAACTGTTCAAAAAAATTGCACTTTTCAATTTCTAATCAAATCCAAACATTTAAGGTTTTTTGTTTACTGCACTATGAACACCCTTCTCTCTTACTCTCTGCGAGGTCAGTCTGGCTCTCTGCCAGTCCAGGGTCTTTAGCTTGCTCATTTCCCCTTTCTCTTTCCACACCCTCTTTTCTTTATTTTCTTCTTCTTGGCCCTTTTTTCCTTTCATTTTTCTCTTTTCCCTCCACATTTCTCTTTATCTTTTTCTTTCACTCACAAAGAGCCATGGCCACGTCTCGATTCGTTGTGGATTGGGAAAAGGTCTACCCAAAACCGATCTGCCCGCCAATATATTTGTTGAACCCCTTTGATATTACCGCTAAAATTTTTCTTTTTGCTGTAATTTACAGTTTAAACGTAGGTAATAAACTTTGCATTCACTTGTTTCATCCATGAAAAATTCATAAAATTTTCATCCATGAAAAACGACGTTTTTCTCGATTATATCCCTTTAATATCAGTGATTTGTTTAATGTTTGCCTAAAATTACCCATTTAACTTTGAAAAATCATCTGATTGTGAGAATAAATCATTTCCAGTCTTGAAAGTGAATTTTAAAAACGATTATTCGCTATCGAAATCCGATGACGATATTTTTCTGAAATCGAAATCTTAGAATATGATACTTTTTTCTATTAAAATTCGCAACTTTTTTTGGGAAATGACATCTTCATTTGTCTTTTTACTTTTTTTTTTCATGGTTGGTCTCTCTTTTTTTTTCCTTTTTTCCTTTTTTTTGACCCCGCTTATCACAAATTTTAGATTTGAGAGAGTGAGAAGGATCAACACTTGAAAAAAAACTCTAAATACCTATTCTCTCTTGAAAAATTTCCATGTTAGGCACGTGAACTCTGTCAGGCTAACAATAAATCTGTATTGAATTTTAATGTATCATGTATTGCAAATATCAATCTCGTCTCAATTCTGAATTAAATTCTTTTGTCTTTTTTTTTGAGCTTTGTACCATTTCTCTGTTTGTTATAGACTTTTTGGTTTTGACCAAATTTTGAATCTTCATTTGTAAAGTTTGTAAAGTAAATCACAAACATCTGAGTTACATCTTGAACCTTTATTGCTATTTTTTTTTGCATTTCCTAGCTCTGGAACAATGTTCCTAGAGAGATAGGTCTGAAATTACGATATTTTGACATAAACACCAAAAGCTTTATGATATGCAAAGGTATATCGGTATATAAAGTTGTAAATAAGCTTGCCTCAATTCATTTACCATCCTGGAATCGGGCACAGCACTTTAACTGCTAAAAAAGCTCTATTTCATTGACAATTTCGATTCTTAAATATCCAATATTGCGATAGGAATATCTGTAACTTTATGAGAAAAAAAAACAATAGGGAAAGCTCTATTTCTAAAAATAAGCAATTCTAAACAATTTCTAACAATAAGCTATAACTAAAAAAGTTAAATCGAAGAATTCTTTCTCCTTAAAACTCTATTTTAGCTTTATTTTCCGTCTCTTTTTCTCTTTCACCATTTCACGTTGACGACATTGTCACCTGATGCTGTCTGACACATATTCGTTCGCCTGGGACATTGTCACCTGATGTCAGGTGACAGTACCAAAATTGATTTTTTTTGTGCATATTTATGTTTGCTGATGATGGATATCAAATAAGCAAGTAGGGTAGTATCTATATTCGACTTGGTCCCGGAAAATGTCGATTTAACCGTTGATTATTAAAATTTTAATTTTTTAGGTGACAATTTCAGGTCGAAATTTTTTGTCGAAAAAAAAACAACGTTGTCCCATGCGATTCTTTGTGCAAAAACGTCATTGTCGTCAACGTGTTAAAACCTTTCAAATTTTTGTAAAAATTTTCTTTTCGCATCATTTACCCGTTTTTGTAAAAGCTGAAACTCTGTCCCAAATTAGAGCTTAGAGCCTATTAGTTGAGCTTTTTTTTCGAAGTTCTTTAGATAACACTTTCACTGGGATTAGTTATAAAACTTGATTTTTTGTTTTTTCTTTTATTTTTTTTGAGAAATTTATTCCTTTATTTTAGAGTCATCTTTGATTTTTTCTTTGAATTTAATTCAAAATATTTTCGCTCAATGACTCATTTTTTTTTGTTCTCAAATTTTCAATTGAACTTTTTAAAGTGACGAAATTTTGGATGGTTTTATTTCAGCAAAACTTCTATGTAAACAAAAGAATCCCTAACCGGAACACCGTTTTTGAATTTTTTTTGCATGCTTTTTGAAAGTTTATAACTCTATTTTCGTGTCTTTGAATGCAATTTAACGTATCGTAGCTATTGAAACCAGCAATGGACATTCAAGCATTCGACCAGAGCAATTCAATCTGAAATTTGCACTAACTAGGGAAAGGCACGAGGTCAAGGTGATCTTTTAGTACGAGAGCCACGGAACTTTATAGAATCGGCTATGCTGATTCTGAATATGCTTTTACTTTTTCCAAAGGAGCTCTGTAACGCGAGATATCTGGCATCAAATTTTAGGCCGATTTTCGGAATTGATTTTGATTAGCGGGAGAATGTTTAGAAATGATTTAGGAACAACAACATAAACGCTTTTTCATAAATGTTATTTGTTGTTGCTAGAACATTGTTCACGATTCCACTGACTGCTGATGCAAAAATAGTGGAATTCAATACGCGGAATGGAATTGAAATGAATTTCACAAAATAGTGGAATTCAATTCAAATTTTCTAATTATTTTCTCAAAAAAAGGAATATGAAACGCCGGAAACGAACTCCAACCCGAGCAAAAACAACTGCGAACCGTTCCGAAGGCGAGCACACTATCCACTGCGCCACTAGCTCTCGCTTTAAGGAAGAGAGAAAAAGCTTATAAGGATTCCGAAAATCGGCCTAAACTTTGATGCCAGTTATCTCGCGTTACAGAGCTCCTTTGGAAAAAGTAAAATCATATTCAGAATCAGCATAGTCGATTCTATAAAGTCCCGTGGCTCTCGTATTAAATGGACACCTTGACCTGGTGCCTTTCCCTAGTAAGATTCATGCATTATGTACAGATTTAATATCGTTCACTTTAATTTCCAACAGTTCACAAGTTTATTAAACTGTGCTAGTTTATTACAATGGTTTAAATCTGATACCAGATTCGTAATCTCTAATCAAATCTAAACCCTGTTTCTTCTTTCTACATTGTTAAAGTTGAAAATTTAATTAAAACTATATTTGAAAACCATAGATCTTTATTAGAATGATTGTAGTGTAGAATCGTATTTGGAACCGTATTGGAACCGTATTAGATCAAATAAGGAACCGTAATAAAAACGAGTTAACGCGTCCATTAGCATGATCCATTAGCATCATTTTTCTATTCATAAAGCCTTTTAAATAAGCTAAAAGCTCTTTTAGCATGTTTTCGTTTTTATTGTTTTTTTTTTGTCTAAAATCCCCTTTCATTCAATCGAAAAGAAGTGCAATCTCTTTTCCGTTTCACAAAATATTTCTATGATGATTGAACGATCAAACTTTATCTCAAAATCGAATCTCTTTCAAGGAAATCTTCATTTTCATTGAAAAATTTTTAAAGATTTTAATGTCTATCACTTTTCTCATAAAAATTGAATATTTATTGAATATTTAATTAAATCTTTATTTGAAAATCATTTTCTTTGTAAAGGTATATTTATTCGACACGAATAATGAATTACAACACAACGGAGGAGATTTTTACCCCTAATTACCCCTATTGCCTAAATGTTGTTAGGAAAAAACCCATAATAAAACCAATAATAATGGGAAAAAGAACCAATCTTTCTAGCCGCTGGGATCGAACCCTAGGAAGGATAGCCTAGAAGCCTAAGGATAACCTGGAAGCCTACGAATAGCCTGAAAGTCTAGAATAAGTCTGGAAATCAGGCTCTCCTCTGACCCCCCGACTAGGAGACAAGACTCCTATCCGGTTGGCTACGACGGCTTACTACTAGCTTTCTTACAATTTCTCTGAAATTTTTTGATTCTTCAAGGCTCTTTTGATAATAATCATTTGTTTTTAATTGTTTTGATAATTGTTTTTTTTTCAAAACTTTTTTATGATTTAAAACGATTTTTGATAAAATATTGATGGCAAGACAAAGTTTTTTTGTTTTTTTTATGCCTTGAACTTCTTCAAACCTTTAAACCAAAATTTTCTTCTTCTTCTTTGGAAATCTCAACTTTAACTTGGAAACAATAAAATATTATATTTAAAAACATTCTAACTATTACTTTGCTATCAAAATTAAATCAAGATTGGTAAGGTAAAGTAGATGAAATTTGAATGGGAAAATTGTACGGGTGACTGTAGTTAAGCTGAACAAAATTTGATACTAAATCTAATCAAATTTTTGGATAATTGAGTAATTGAGTCAATAGTAATTTAAAGTCAGTAATAATTCACGTTGACAGATTTACTGTTTCTGACACGTTGACAAATTCACTGTTTCTTTGAAATTCAACCTCTAATTTTTATCAACAGCTGAATCGAATTTCATTTATAAAACTAGCACAATAAAGGATGAATTATTATAAATGAAGATAAAAATTCGATTTCAACTATAGGCTAAACCAAAAATTTAGTTGTAAAGTCAGTTATTTATCCTCTAAACATTACAATCATTTTTATAGCTTTCCGAAAATCGATTCTTTTCAAGAAAAGTCTTTTCAGCAATGGTTAATCATAATGATTGACCATTCGAGTCATTCAATCGTTTTCACGGGAGAAAAAGAAAAGAAACGGTGAATTCTATGTGAACGGGAATTGGAGAGAATCGACATCTTCTATTGGCACAGATGGGGAAAGGAAAGGAAGGAAAGAAAAGAAGGAAAGGAAAGAAAGGAAGGAGAGGAAGGAAGGAGAGAAAGGCAGGAGAGAAAGGAAGGAAAGAAAGAAAGAAAGAAAAGAAGGAAAAGCAGGGACACTCTACGACGTGGATTGTTAATGTTCCCATTTTGTCTAAATTTGAATCTATATTCTGAAAAGAATTAATTTCTCTAGATCTTCTATTAAACTTTACAATTCTACACACAACTTTTTTTAGGCTAAAAATTTGGCTTGAGAAACAAAGAAAATCGATGAATGACTAGATTAGACAATGATCAACTAGAATTTTCTCATTTTTGAACAAACTTTAATTACTTTTAAAGCACAGAATACCCAACTAGGCTCTTTCTACTGATATGCTGAAAAATATAAACGCAACATTTTCTCGGTACCCCAGAAAATCTTCCTTTCTGTTTGATTCGTACACTTAAAGTACTAAATAGTAAGTACTTAGTATTTTAAGTGTACTAATCAGTACTTAGTACTCTAATCTAGTACTAAGTACTTAAAGTACACTAGATTTTTATCTAGAATCTGATCCAAATCATTTCCATTTTCGTTCACTAATCAAATGATTTGAAATAGATTTTTGAAAAGTTTAGTACTAAATCGAAATCCTAGTTATTTTACCATTTGTAGAATATCTAGGATTTCGTATTTGTAGGGTACCATTTGTAGCTATTTTTCAGATTTTCATCATTTTATCCTAAACTAACTAATAAATGAAAGAAAAAAGATCTATGATGTGTCTATTGTGCTACAAACTTGTAACCCTTTCTGATCCTTTTCCCTTTTATCTCTTGTCTTCTATTCTTCACTAAGAATCTAGAAAAATCTATCGAAAACGTTGGAGAAAAAGCTTTGAATCGAAACTTTTCTGAAACACAATCCACATTCCTAAATCCAATTTTCTCTATAGTTTTTTCTTTCAGTTAAATTCCTTAGCTTCGAAAATCGTCTAATTCCTTTCTATCTTTCAATAGATCTCGAGAAGTGAATGGAAAGTAAGAAAGGAAGGGAAGGAAGGAAAGAAAGAAAGGAGAGGAAAGAAAGAAGGGAAAGGAGAGGAAAGGAAGGAAAGAAAGAAAGAAAAGAAAGGAAGGAAAGAAAGAAAAATGCTAAGCTTTTCTCATAACCTTGAAACTTTCGATTATTTTAAGAAATTTTTACTTTTATTACTAAATAAACTATTTTTAGATAAAAGAATATCTGATTTTATTTGTCTATTTTCTATTTTCCATTTTCAACGATTTCCTTTTTCTGTCTTTTTCCCTTTTCAAAAGTGTCAATCAGTTTTACTTGAAAATTTACAATCTCATAAATTTCTTTTTATCATGTAGTTTTGGTGATCTTTTTTTTAAATGACAAGTTTTCAGAGATTTTCACGAAGATTGAGCGATTAATTGATTGAGGAAACACAGAAGAAATGGCCGCTGCTGTAGCATCGTCAACTGACAGAAGTCGGTCTTGAGAAATATTAGAACTAAGATATAAAATAAACATCCAGGTATAATGTTTATTATATAAAGAAAACTAAAATAGCAATTGTTGAGCTTTTTTGAGCTTTATAAAGTATTAGAAGCTAATAAAAGCTTACAAAATTTACTATTAAGCTATTAAATTAAGGTACCGGTAGGTGAACCTGCCGGTGGATCAATACTGTAAACGCCTCGCGTCACAGTGTGCTACGACACAGCTATAAGCAGCTAAAAACGCCCGGCCGAAAATTGTGAATCTTGTGAAAATTGTGAAACCATATGAACTTGATTAAAAATGCTTATGTGTATCATTATCAAATCAAATCCTTCAGTATCAAATCAGTAAATACCTTGAGCTTTTGCAACGGCTTTTGCAAGTGTTCATCAAAACTTTTTAAAGCAAAACTTTCGATAAATCGGTCTTATAACTTTTATAGTTTTGTTCTATAGAGCTAATCTAGTGGTTATTGGTAAAATCTATGAAATTTTTACTTTTATTACTTACAAATAAACGATTAGATAAAAGAATATCTTATTATATTTGTCCATTTGCCATTTTCAACGATTTCCTTTTTCTTTCTTTCACAAGAAATCACTGTCAAATATCTCACTAATCCAAAGTTTCTTAAACTTTTTCTAATAAACCATTACCAAATTGAAAATTATCAACTTTTAAAGGCAAAACCAGTCTCGTCACTTATTGCTAGCTTTTAAGTCATAAATTCTTCCACGGTTTGCCAAGTTTGCCTTTTTTTGGAGTGGGTTTTTTGGAGGCACTGTGTTGACGTAAGATAACCCTTGTCATTGAAAAAAGGAAAGCTTTTGTCTTTTTGTAACGTGTTAGATCAAATCCTTATTGAAATTGTTAAAAATTGAAATCTTGGCTGAGAAAACAAGGAGATTCTTCAGTAAACTGATGAGCTTTCAGGTTTTAAAAGACTGAAAGAAATTTTAGAATATGAAAAGGAAGATATAAAATATAATGTGGCTCCATAAGAATAGAGGGCTTCACTCACCGGAAAGTAATCAAAAGCTTAACTTAATAGCTCAACATAAAGCTCAACGTAAAGCTCAACGTAGAGCTTAACCTAATAGCTCAACCTAAAGCTCAACGATTTATCTCAGATCTCAGAGTTTAGCTAGATCAAGGGCAAAACTAGGAACAATATTATAACGAAATAATAGTAGCTTTGGATTGACTGGTTAATATTTGCATGCCTAATCCCCTCCCCTCCACAGTCGATCGGTCTCTTCCCCTCTCAGCCTCACCACCGGCTTTTCCCCTTCCACCCAATCGCTCGATTTGTATATTTGGAGACTCTTGCCTTCTCCTCTTCTCTCTATCTGTTACTCTCACTTCTCTTTTCTGTATTCATTCTGTTATTTCTCTTCCTCTTCGTCACTCCATTGTTGATCGATCATTACCGATATTTTCAATCGAACTTTCCCCTAACTCAGTGAAAATCTATCCAAATTTACATTCGATTCTTTGAGTCACGAATCGATGGGACTGCTATTTGGTTGTTTATTGCTAGAATAGCTTTCAGAGACAACGCTAAACTTCTATGTACTATGTACTAAATACAAAGTACAATTTCTATTCTATAATTGATGTATTATAGAGATCTGTCGATGTCCTAATTGATTCTTATTTTAACCATTCCATTCCTATTGCCTTAAAAATGAGACCTCGTCTCCGTGGCTTGAGAATCCCAAAAATCCCTGAGATTTTTTTGAGCGGTAAAGCTTGGATCTATTTTTTTAAACTTTTGAGATTATTTTAAATATTAAAGTTGTTAGAGTTGATTTATTGGCTTAGTTGATTTCTTGGTTTAGTTCATTTTATTGGTTTAGTTCATTTATTGGTTTATTTGATTTACTCAAAAGCTTTTCTTATTGATTTCTATGAGAGCATTTCAAAAAAACTCAAAATTAAACAATATTTTTTCGAATATTTTAACATTTAGCAAATTAATACTTACAAAAGAAGAATTATTGTTTAATTTTGAGTTTTTTTTTGAAATGCTCTCATAGAAATCCATAACAAAAAGCTTTTGAATAATTTAAAAACAAATGAAAAGATTTTTATAAGGCCGATCACATCTAATTACTCTTTATCTTTGTACCTGGTAATCAAAAATAGAAACATATCCTTTCTAGGGCACCAGAAAGCCTCTCCTTCCATCAATGACTTTACAAAAGAAGACTTACTAGTGCTAGAGATTGCGCTAAAGTACTAGAGATTGCGTTTAAGCGTCAAAGCACAAAGTATATAAATAAAGCTCTAGATCTATCTGTGAATCTATTAATTCATCACATTTTTTAGAGACAACTGTGATCAAATACACTTCACTGGTAATCCTCGTGCTTCAAAATTGCTCTCTCGTCCTTTTCATGCGATATGCACTAACAGGAAATCGACCGAAATTCTTAAAGGTATTCTTTAAAGTTATTAAAGTTGATTTATTGGTTTAGTTGATTTATTCAAATTCAAAGTTGATTTATACTCAGCTTATGTGATCAAAAAATTAATCAAAATTTGCATATAAAACGCTTGCAGACAATCTCCGTTTTCTGGGGAGAGATTTTCAAGTTATGCGCCTCGATTCTGCTCGTTTGTTTTGAAGCTCGGAGCTTGCAAAAGTTTGTTGATATTGTTGATATTGTTGATATTCTATAGCTTCATTTTTACAGTATATTTATTTATTTTTAATCTTTCTCAGGGGTTTTCACGATATTTGGTATGAGTTCACGGTGAAATGGAGAGATTTACTGAAAGTTCTCGTGCCGGCAGCTGTCTACACTGTGCAGAATTTCTTGTTGTACGTTTGTAAAGAGAATTATCAAAACCCAATAGCAATCTCTAACACAGTACAATCTCTAAAACAGTACAATCTCTAACACAGTACAATCTCTAAAACAGTACAATCTCTAAAACAGTATTTGTACTGTACAATCTCTAAAACTTATCTCCTTAAAAAACAAAACTATATTTTTATAGATATGTCGCTGTGGACAATCTCCCCGCCGCCACTTATATGGTTGGTCAGCTTTCGGCTTTTGTTTAAGGAGTAGAATATACTGTGATTAGAAATTTAACACACTATAACTACCGTACTCTTTGTACAGTACTTATAGTACAGTACTTCTTTGTATTAGAGCATATTTCTATTCGTATACTATCCATTATCTAGGTCACATATCAACTGAAAATCCTCACGACAGCGATTTTCACGGTCGCTGTCCTGAAACGGAAACTTTCTTGGCAACAATGGCTGGCACTTGTTGTCCTTTTTGGTGGAGTTGTCATTGTTCAATATGTAAGTTTGAAAATAGATTCTAAATCGAGTTATAAAAGAGATTCGATTAACAACAACAACAACTGTTTAGGACCAAAAACTCTCCGATGATGCTGAAAAAGCGAATCGAGCTGCTTTTATTGCCAATCAGACGACAACAATGGCTCCGATTGACTTGAATTTGACTGGAGTTGAAGAAAGAGTCAAAGAAAAGCTGGTAAGAGATAGAAATAATAAAAATGAAAATGGAAAATTGTTCAAAACCTTTATCTTTTCGCTCTTTTTCACCCTTTTCCCACTCTTTTCCTGGCCACGTTTTTCTGCCTTTGCAGCACATAACCCCTCCACTCGCCGCCTCTCCACAAGGCCGCGTGGCGCAATGGATAACGCGTCTGCCTACGGAGCAGAAGATTGAAGGTTCGAATCCTTCCGTGGTCGAGATTTTTTGCAATTTTCGGAAATGACCAGGAATTTAAGGAAGAGTCAAATCTATCTATATTTCTAGTCATCTATCTAGTCAAATCTATATTTCTAAAGCCATTCAAAATCAAGGTCTTTTAGGATATTCTTGGAACAACGCTGGCTCCATTTGTTCGAGTCGAGCGTCAGGCCACTCCTTCACCGCCACCCGCTCATATTCACGAGCAAAATTCGATTTTGGGGTAAAAATTGTAAACATAGCAATATCTATAGCGATTAATATGTGAATTTTAATATGGAAATTTATAATATAATTGTTTCTTTCTCTTTCCAGCTTCACAGCAGTCCTCGTCGCGTGTTTCCTCTCCGGTTTCGCCGGGATCTACTTTGAGAAAATTTTGAAAGGTATTATTTTCAATTAAAAATGAAAACTACTATCTAGTAGATCTAATAGATCGATTATCTATGTATTATCATTTATTTTTTATTAAACTTCAAATTTCCTAGGCTCAAACGTTTCGATTTGGATCCGAAACATTCAGCTCGCCTTTCCATCGCTCTTTTTTGCGCTCCTCTTCGCTTCGGTGAGATCGAGTTGTTAAAAATTAGCTATAATATTAAAAATACTAAAGTTTTAAGTGCTAAGATCGTTTTTAAAAGATTTAGAAACGCTAAAATAACTAAAATTCCCCAGGTGAAAGACCGAGAGGTGCTGTTTGCTGACGGCTTCTCACCGGCAGCGATTGGAACAAGGTTTGAAATCATCAATCAATCAAAATATAACTAGTCATTGAAAAGATTATTCAAAGGATTGTATCTCAATCATTTTACAAATTCTACTTAGTTTTGTTTTGAACTTTTTAAAAAAAGTAATCGTAGTGTCGACGAGAATCTCCGTTTATTGGAGCTCAAAGTGTAAACAAAATGTAAACTAGATTCTCAAAGCCTACTGTAAATGGATAGCTTTAGATTATCAGATTTGAATAGTGCTAAAACTATTTCAAATAAAATTTATACATAATCATTACGATTAGGATTTAAAGCTTACACTTTGAAATTGCTAATACCGTATTTTCTCTAATAGTAGTGCACCCTGAGCTTTGTCTAAATTGATCGGAATCTCGAGAACTGCTTATCAGAACCTATCGATGTGGGGTCAGAAAATGTAGCTGACGATGCCATCTAGTGGGGGATTAGAGTTTTGAGCTTCTGCAAAAGCTTTGGAAACCGTAAAATGGTCATCAACTCGGCTCGCCGGAGTGCACTACTATTAGAGAAAATACGGTAACCACTAAACCCATGAGGCAAGACTCTAATACTCTTATAATGTTATTGAAAAGTAAATTTGAGTCTTTCAAGTGTTATTTATTGTTCCTTTTTCAGGATGATGTCCGGTTTTGATTGGGCTGTTTGGGTGACGGTTGGGATTAGCGCTTTCGGCGGTTTAGTCGTTGCCGTGGTCATCAAATATGCGGATAATATTTTAAAGGTGAGTATTGAATATATACGATTTAGTAATACCAAAAATATAGAAAAATATTAGAATATTGAAAGTACATGATAAGAGGAAAAGTTCGACAAGGGATAGACTTTAAATGGGTATTGTTTGAGCTTCAGAAAGTCTGAAATGTAAAAAAGGCTTAATACTATAAAATACATAGAAAAGCTTATCTAAATATCGAAATTTATATAGGAATACATAGCTTAAGAAACCCAGAAACTCAGTCAAGAAACCCTAGAAAGTTCCCAGCAAAAATAGTAGGCCAAGCTGAAGAGTAAAATGAAAAGCAAAGTGGGGATGAGGAGAGGAGGAAAGCACTCACTCAAATCTTGACATTGAGCGAATTTTGATTGGACTTGTTGCACTGGTGGGTAAGGGGGAGGCGTTTCTGAGCGATAGATAGGCAAACGATCATCGATATCCACGTAATCCCCGAAATCTCGATCCTCGAAGTTGACCTTGTTTAAATCGTCGAAAGAGCTCGTGGATTTCGAGGTGATTGAGGCTAAAATTGTAGATTGACTTCGTTTAAGAACTTTTGAAAGTGATGATGCTAGAATGGTGTCTTTGTTGAACAGAAAGGAGCTTTTGTCTGGGCAAAACAAAGCAAAGCCAAGCCAGAAGTCAGACTTGATTTTTGGCTCCCGGAAAATCACTTTTAGAGCAACTCTCCTGGCCGTTTGAGCTTTAGAGACAGCTTTAGAGTGTTCTTTGTACTCAAAAAACTAAACACATCTTTTCTAGCTCATTACTAGCTTACAACAATGTTATCTTTTAGCACAAAAATACTGTTTTTGGTGGAAGATTTTGATTGTAAATCTATATCTATGATGATCTTTATGCAAGTGGTTTAAGTCTAATCTCTTGCTTTGTTGTTCTTTGAAATTCTCTTAGAATTTCTATGAAATTTCAAAGAATTCTTAACACTTTCATAGCTCACCACTTTTCCCTTGATTGGCGGCTTTCTTCGACATTCCAGCTTCAAGACATTCCAGCATTCCACATTTCAGCGACATTCCAGCTTCAACATCTTCTTGTTCTTCTTGTAAACAAGTGAAAGAGATCATTGTAGCTGAAAGAAGAGGATATGATTGATAAAGTTTTAGATAAAAGATTTAATAAATAAAAACAGATAGATTTTGGACTACTTTGCCTTTTTTCTTTTTGAAATAGGTGAGACAAATGCTAATGGCAAGTGTCAATTGACTGAATCAATGGTAAATGGATTGATCGGGAATAGTTTTGATTTTTAGTACACTTTGAGTTCAAAGTTTAGTTTAGTTTTAGTACAGAGAAATACATCCTTTCTCGTGCACTCAATTCATCATTTTTCTTGTGACATCAAAGCGTTTCTATGGGAAACTGAAGAATTGAGTGCACTAGAAAGATGCGTTTACATTTTGTAAAAGAATCACGAGGATTACCATTGAAGTATATGATTACAGTTGTCTCTGAAAAATGTGATGAATTAATAGATTCATAGATAGATCTAGAGCTTTATTCGTGCGCTTTGTGCTTTGGTGTCTAAACGTAATCTCTCTAGCGCACGCAATTCTTCTTTTGTAGAGTTATTGACGGGACATTGACGGGCTTTCTAGTGCCATACTGTAAATCGATAGCTTTAGCATTACAAATTTATTTCTTTCATTTGAATAAAGTTATGAAAATGAAATTCAAGGTTTTGAGTACGATTTTTTGAAGAGATCTTTCGATAAATGATAGGAAAAATAGAAGATGAGAGCGATGAGAAATAAAATGATAAGACAACGAAAGAATTTCCATTCACAAGTCTGAGAGATGTTCAGAAATTCGTTCGTAGAGTCGGGAGTTTGCGAGGGATAAGGCGGTGGAGTGGATGGGATGAGGATCGGCATCTGAAAAGGAATTTCGATATTAGAATCAATTCTTACAACAGTTTTATAGATCAATTCATACATTAATACCCTAAAGCAATAGAATAGTACAGAGCGAACCAGTTACAATACAAAACGAACCGTTACAGTCGTTCTAGAAAGTGTCACTCCATTCTTGCGATGATTAGACTTAAAATTAGAATTTGAACCAATTTCCATCTTTGTTTCTTGACGAATTGTTTTGGAATACAATTGCCATTGTTAGTTTGTAATTGCCATTGTTAGCTTGTGGACAAAATTAGCAAAGAAATCGGATGGAAGGCTCGGGAATCAGTTCGGGAAATTTTCTGATTTCTAATACTAACCAAACTACTGTAAAATCTTGTTAAAACTCGTTTAAATCTTTTTCTTTCAAACACACCCTTTCATTATAATCTCGACAATCGATCTCTGGCATTTCATCCATTGATTCAATATCATCCATTGTTATCTCTTTGTCTTTCGCTGAAACTGTCGACGCAAGACTGCTTGAACTGCCGGCTGACTCTAGAATTTGTAAATCTAAAAAAGTTCAATTAGGCAAAGTTGAATTTTTGATTTAAAAGATTTACCTTGTTTAAAAGACAACTTTACCTTGTTCCTCAGCCTCGATCAATTGATCATTCTCGGCTTTTTCCAAATCAACATCACTTCCCACTTGAAACATTCAATGATCTGGATTCTAAAAAAAACTTACTGACAATAATAATAGGAAATAAGATAATAGAAAGTTAAACTGAATCAATCAATAAGTAAAAGTAACACTGTTCTACCTTGAGAACTGCGAAGTGATCCGGCACTTGCCATTGGCATCTATTGAGAGTGTCGATTGACTAGACGATAAAAGGAAAGATCTCGGGGCTAAACGGGGATAGACGGGATTCGAACCTGCGATCTGGGGAACCGGGCTAACGCTCTAGCAATGAGCTACATCAACACGTATCCGATTGCAGTCAAGGTGTGCCCGACTAGGATGATCAGGTTAGACGACTGACCTGGGGCTTTAGCCAACGCTAAGCAAGTCTAGTAATTCTAGTACTAAAATATGACCTCAAAGACAATGTCAAGTCAGCCGAAAATGGAATTATTTTGCTTAAAAGAAACAAATTCAAACCCTATCATCGATTTCCAGGCCTTCGCCACCTCATTCGCCATCGTGTTGAACTGTGTGCTGGCGTATTGGTTGTTCAACTTCCATCCCACATATCTTTTCGTTTTGGGAGCGATCATGGTGATTGGAGCCGTCTTTGGATACAGGTATATTTGCTAAATTTTTGATTCTATGATTTTAAAATCAGCTAAGAAAACTTTTGAACTTAAAATCCCCTTGAAAAAGTGTGTTTTAAAAGCTATAAGAAATCATTTTTTCGGTTGAACCGAACCGAACCAAACCGCAACCGAAACCGAACCGAAAAGAGCCAACCGAAACACAAGTCTAGTCGAGGGGTTAAGGGTTCGATCCCGGCGGCTAGAAAGATTGGTTTTTTCCCATTATTATGAGTTGTTTTCTTTGATCTGGAGCGGCTACAATTGTTACTCAAACTTAGTCCCGTACTGGCCCAGTACTTGGCCCAGTCAGAGCAGAGCCTGATTTCCAGACTTATTCTAGACTTTCAGGCTATTCGTAGGCTTCCAGGTTATCCTTAGGCTTCTAGGCTATCCTTCCTAGGGTTCGATCACCGGCGGCTAGAAAGATTGATTCCTTTTCCCATTACAGTATTTTTTCTATTAGTATTGCACCCTGAGCGTCGCCTAAATTCCTCGAAATCTCGAGAACCGCTTACCAGAACCTATCGATGTGGGGTCGGAAAATGTAGCTGACGATTAGATCTAGTGGGGGATTAGAGTGTTGAGCTTCTGCAAAAGCTTGGAAACCGTTGAAATAGTCACCAACTCGGCTCGCCGGGGAAAACTATTAGAGAAAATACGGTATTATGGTTTTTTTTCTTAACAACATTTGGGTAATAGGGGTAATTAGGAGTAAAAATTCCCTCCTTTGTGTTGCAATTCATTATTCGTGTCGAATAAAATGATATTTTTATATTCAGTTCTCTTTAAGCCTATCCAGCAAGATTCGTGAGTCTGAGCTTCAAATTTCTTCTTTTTTTCACTTTTCAAACTTTCTTAGTTGACAAGAAAAAGGAATTTATATATAAAGCTAGATATTTATATGAAATGATTTTCAGTATATTCCCCTATCGTGCCACTCATCAACCGATTCCAACCGTTGAAACGAAAGATGATAATGATGAAGAGTTGAAAGATGTTCAAACTAAAGTATAGATTGAATGATTTTAAAGTTTAAGGTTAATTTTTACATTTTCATGCGTAGATCTATTGTATGAGAATTTTGTGAAAAGTTTGTAAACACAGGCGGGTTGGGGCACTGATTTTGGTAGTTTACAAGTCGACATGGTCGGTCGTTCTTTGCGCTTCGATGTAAACTAAATCGATCTGGCATACAGAGATCCCAATTTTTCTCGCAGTCTCGCTGCTTCCAGAAAAATGAGGAATTGCGTGTGCGAGATCGATTTAGTTTACGTCGGAGCGCAAAGAACGGCCGAAATAGCCCAAATGCTTGATTTTTCTTGCTATAATTAATCTAAGATTGAATAAAATCAATAAAAAGACCTTTAAAATGCGAGCTACCGTAATCTAAGTGAAGGTTACAGTAGCTGTAGCTTTTTTCCTTTTTGTTGCTTTTTTGTTGTGCCGTTGTTTATTTTATTGTAGCTGTAGCATACTTTAAAGCTATTGTAGTCTACAGCTTGGTTACCCTAGAGCCGAATAGTTGTAATGACTGTCGCAAAAGCTAGCGTTAACAAAATGGTTTTACTATTGATTTACAAGTGTGCCAGATGCTGATTGTTTACAAGCTTCTTTCCAATTCTTAAGATCTAAGCACTGTAAATAAGTCTAAATTTAATTTTATCTTACTTTACATATTTTCTATTCAACATAATCAAAAGATTTATTGTATTTTATTGAACTTTCTTTATTGAACTTTCTTTATTGAAACTCCCTTCCCCTCTCTCTTCTTTTTCTCTAAATTTTTTCAAAAATCTGATTTTTCTTTAATAAATAAATACTAGATTGAAAAATTTACAGTTATTGGGAGTGGGACAAATGCGACCTTTTTTTTTGCGCACCCGGACATTTGCGCACCTTTTTTTCTGCACTTAGCCCATTAGCGCACCTTTTTTCGCGTTTTAAAAAAGCTAATATTAACCAATTTCTATTCCAAATGTTGTTTTTCTAGGTAATTTTAGGGCGTAGAATCGAAATTTTGACATATCAGAGCTTGTGGAAGCGAACGGACGGAGTTATACAAAGAGAAAAATCCACAATTTTCTGTAATTTGATCTAGCCGTTTTGTCTTTCATTTCGAATTGGTTCCACAAGCTCTGATATGCCAAAATTTCGATTCTACAAAAACCCTATAAAAAAAAATTTTAATTAAAATTTTTTTATTTTTTTTTTTTTGGGAAATTTTAAAACGGAGAAAAAGGCGAAAAGGGGGGAAAAAAACCCCGAAAGCGCCCCCCGCAAAAAAAAACCACCCCCCCTCCCCCCCCCAAATTATTTTATTTTTTTTGGGGATTTTGGGTAGGGTAACACAAAAAAACTTATATATTTACAAAAAAAAAAAAAAATTTAAAAAAAAAACCCCTTTAAAAAAAAAAAAGGCAAAAGGACCAAAAGAAAAAAAACCAAAAAACCCGCCGAAAAAAAAACCCCAACCCCCCCCCCCCCAAATAAAATTATTTTAAGTGTTTTAGATGGTAAACTTTTATTTTGTACTATAAAACTTACAATCCGATTTTGAGTACTGTAAGCTTTATAGATAATCGACTTTTTTTTGATTGAACTTTCTTCTATGTGATCAACAATTGTGATCGTTTTTTTTGTTATTTCGTAAAAAAAAAAGCCATTTTCTAGTCAAGATTCTATATTTTTTTTATGAAAATTTCTCTATTTTTCCCTTTTTTTTCTATATAGCAATCGAAATGGGTTTGTTTTAATGTTGTTTTTTTTCTTTTTTCGTTTTTATTTAGAATTTTTAATTGTGATAAAGATTTTGAAGTGTTCGAACTTTAAAATTGCACCCTAGTGAAGAGAAATACCTGGGAAAAGCTCAAAAGGGTTTAAAGTTTGAAGAATTGAAGGCAAAAGCCGAATCATTTACGCCAAAATCTCTGGCATTGATTTTTGAACAGAAGTAGCTGTATTTTTCGTTTTTTAGAACAAATTCTACACCCTGAAAACCACCAAAATAAAGCTAAGCCTATGATGGAACGATGAGAGTTTTATTTCTCCATCCTTTATTCAAAAGTTTTCATTCAAAATCAAAAGTTAACTTTAATAACTCTCAAAGAGCTATTTCACTTAGCGAATTAACGAATTTTTTGTGCCATGTCAGCACAAAAGTCCATCACTCGCCCCGCCGCCACATGGCCGCGTGGCGCAATGGATAACGCGTCTGCCTACGGAGCAGAAGATTGAAGGTTCGAATCCTTCCGTGGTCGAGATCTTTTGCAATTTTTGGAAATGGCCGGGAATTTAAGGAAGAGTCAAATCTATCTATATTTAAGAAGGAACATAATGATCAAATCTAGCTATTCAAACCTATATTTCTACCGTCATCCAAAACCAAGCTATTTTAGGATATTCTTGGACCAACGCTGGCTGCATTGGTTCGTAGCCAGACGACCCCTTCACCTGCCGCTGATGTTCACGAGTAGGACTCGATTTTGGGGAAAACTTGTACCGCAATATCTACTGATCAATGTGGAAATTTTATAATATAACCGATCCTTTCTCTTCCATCTCTGAATCATTGTTGTTATGAGATCAATTTGACATCTTTTTATCCAAAAACGATTTCGAATCATTTTTGAATCCTTTCAGAACAACAGAACAATAACAATGTTACATAAACATGTTATTTATCTATTGATAATATCTAAACATATCTAATTTCCTTATTTTACATCAAACGATTTCAATTAGAACTTGAAAGTACAATTTACATCTTACAACTCTCGTATCTTTTTTTAGTTATTTTGATAATCGTTATCTGATAAGTATACTCGGCCACCACCGCCAAATGAATTCTGAAAAGTTTACTGACAAGGGAATGTCAACTGGGTGTGGTGGACAATGTGTGCCACTTGTGGACAATGAACGGCGAACTCGAACACGAACTCGAACAGCGTCTTTGCTTTTTATTCTAACCCACTGCCACTCGGCTACCACCGCTTCCAAAAGCTTCTGGGAAATTTGCTTATAAACTCAGGGTGTGACTTTTGAAATCCCATACAAAACTTTGCATGCATTTAACTTTTGACAGAGTGCTTCATGGAAAGCAGTTTCGAAATCGGCGTTGAATTCTGCGTCGAATAACCGATGACACATGTCATTTGGCCATCAAATCTAGTTGATATTCTCTTGTAAGTAAATTAAAACTCTCTAGCTTCTATTGCTTTTGATTACTATCCTATATTGCTAATGTTTAGTTTAAATATTGATTCAAATTTGATAGCCTAATAGGACAGATCTAAACATTTGCACTTATATTTCGGCAAATCCCTCCCAATTTCCGCCTTCTTTAATTAGGGGAGCTTTGTATAGAAAAGAAAAGAAAAGGGAGAGGATGGCATGCAAATTGCGTCCACCTGGTCAGTGTTGTTCGGGGAGGGAGAAGTGGCCAGGCTATGGATGGGATTTGAGGGGTAAGAGGAAGAATGGATGAAAGGTGCTACTCTCTCGAGAAAGAGTGGGCATTGTGATGAGGGGAATTGAGGGCAGAGATGTGTTCCGAATCTAAATTCTTAAAAATAAACGTCACTAAACGACTTTTTCTTGTCTTTTGATGTAAATTTCATGAAACTCGTCAAATCGAGAGACTGGATTGAATTGAACGAATTCTGGCTGGAGAAGACAAGCCGGATCATGAATGGGATTAGAATGGAAAGGGGTGAAAGGTGAAGAAAGCTACTCTCTCTTCTACCAAGGCTTGAGTGGGCATTGTGATGAAAAGGGAAGGGGTCCTTTCATGGGTTGGGGAGGTGCTAGGCTGGCTAGAGGCTCCTAGCCCCGCCCCTTCCCCCAGATCTAGCTTGACCCTCCCCTTTCTTTCCATCCCATCTCTTTCCTATTCTATCCAGGGTTTCACCCCATCCTTGAGATCCATCTCTTGAGAATCTGATTCGATTGTTTATTTTTTTGAGGTCAACAAATGACTCTACCATTTGTTTACCATTTGCCATTTTGTTTCCTAAAGTGATCGCTTCTCCTGGAGCCAAATCTGACCAAAATCCTATACTCAGCTGCTAGAATCTTCTTTTACCACTAGCTTTGCTACTTTGCCTTTCAACCTTTCAGCTTTTCAAATCTAACTCTATTTCAGAAACGCTGACCCCTCCCCGCCCGTGCAGGGGTCGGCCTCGATGGGCTCACTGAGCCGGATTCTATTCGTTTCTCTGATCTTCTTATCAATCTCCCTATCAATCTCCCAAACAAATTCAAATCCTCTTGATCCATATTTCGTCCGTCCATCAATCCCAGTTTGTCATGGTTGTCTTGTCCCGCATCCGACCGCCATTCACTGGATTCCCTATGCTCGACCCCCGTGCTTTCATCCGGGACAACCGATTTTTGTGTGAGTGCCTATTAGAATGAAATTTTAGAAACTTATAGCTCAAAATATTGATTTAAAACTAGTACATAGCTGTCTTTTCATCTAAGTTCATCGATTTTAACTTTAAATGTCTACTAAAAGATCTAGTGACTAGTTTTGTTCACTTTTAAAACCTAATAGTTAGCTTTTTGAGTAGCTTAATCATGAATTAAATGTAAATCTATGTCTAGAGGTTTTGAGATTTGACTAAAGTGATTGAAGAGCTGGCAGAAATTCACTGATATAGAAAAAGTTAATGGACTTTTTGTCGTAGCTTTTTCAACATTGAATCGAATTGAATTGAATTGAATCGAATTTTCTTTAGCTGGCCATCATTGAATGAAGAAATTGATGTGAATGAGGTGGATGATGAGATCCAATCTCCTCAAAAATTCTCACCTCAATGCCCACTCGCCACATCGATTCACTCCATGCAAATCTCCGTCGACTCGGCTGGACTCGTCTTTGCCCGCGAGAGACTTTGTTTCTACGGTAAATGCGGATATCTAAAAGCAAAATACATTTGAAATTTGCATAAACCTTCCAAAATTAGCATTGAATTAGCCAACTAAACTTGCTAATTTTAACAAACTATCCTTCAAAGAAGAAAATGATTTCAAAAATTAAGTTATAATGGAGTTGCAATGATCTAATTAATATTGAATACAAATTGAACTCAAAAATCTTTTTCTAGATACAATCCACGTGATCGACTATTCGTATCGTTGCTCGAACGCCACTCTTCATGGAGAATTTCGTTTAGGACACATTTTATTCTCAAAGCAGCGACGGGAAAAGAGATCGAGTCGAGTCTTTGAGAAAAAACGTGTGAAAAGAAGTTCTCTTCAGAAACGAGCGGCCAGGTAGAGTTTAAATATCGAAAAATAGCTCTATAGAAATTCTAAAAACTTTATTTAAAGATTAGTCGATAATTTAAAAACTGAATCAGAATCATTTGTTGGTTTAAAAAAAACTTAAAGAACTTAAAGATTGGCCATACGACAGCATTTTAGTCGTTAAATCGTTAAGCGTAGTCTTTCAATCTTTCACTGATAATTATCTAAAAATTCAAAGATCTATCAAGCAAATTTATCTTTAGTTTATTGGAGATATTTTTAATTTTCAATTTTAACTTTCAGCCGCTCTAAGCGCTGGTCACGTCGTCGCAATCCTCATCAAGGAGCCATTCAATTTCAACAGCAAAGGTATGCCCAATCAATAGTTGTATCTAAGAAAGAAAATGGGATAATGAAGGGAAAAGCTGGGGGAAAGGGATGGGCAAGGTTAATTGCTGGGTTGAGGAGAGACAGGGGACAAGGGGTTTTGGTCCCCTGCACCCAATGGAATTATGAGTACTCTTTCTCATTCTCACTACTACCAATTTCCACAATTTCCACAATTTCCCCTTCAGCTTCGAAACTAATTTTTGGGGCAAACGGTGAAATGAAGTCTAGAAAGACCCTGACAATCGTAGCTCTCTGATCGTAGCTTTCTGATATTAGCTCTCTGATCGTAGCTCTCTGATAGTAGCTTTCTGATATTAGCTCTCTGATCGTAGCTTTCTGATATTAGCTCTCTGATCGTAGCTTTCTGATATTAGCTGTCTGATAGTAGCTTTCTGATATTAGCTCTCTGATCGTAGCTTTCTGATATTAGCTGTCTGATAGTAGCTTTCGTAACTATCGATTGAAAAAAGTAATGAGATTAAAGAAAAGGTTGATAAAAGAATAAAGAATAAAGTCAATAAAGAAAACAAGAAATTAGCATAATGACAAAAACTAAACACAGAAACATTTTTTTCAGCTACGTGAAAGAGTTGGCTGAGGACGCTGTGGTTGGGTCAAATGTTGTCACCGTTTCTGCCACTCATGCGGCCGGTCATCCACTCTACTACAGCATGGCTGCGCCACAGGATGCCCGATCGCAGAATATTTTCACCCTAGATACGGTGAGTGGAAAATGTATATTATAGTTTTGAAACTATGCATGTAAATTTTTGGTCCCAGTTCAAGTTTTTTTTACAGTAATTTCTAGCTTAAGATTATCTAGAAGCTAGAAGACCTTTGAGCTTTGCATAAAGGCCTAAAATTAGCATTTAACTAACTAGTTATTTAAACTACCTCTAACAACTAGCTAGTATTTAACTACCTCAACACAAAAACCACCCCCCACACAAAAAAAACCCAAACCCACCCCCCAACCAAAAACCCCCACCCCCTATTACCAACAACCCCAGGTTTCAAATGATCCCTTTTTCGCTTAACTTAAATAATTCTCCTTTCAAATATTCTGTCCAGCTGGCTTATTGTTTTTTTTTTTGATGCAATTGTAAACAGTCACAATTTATTCATTCAACCGTATATCATGATCCTTATGAGTCTCTCTCTTTGAAGGGTCATCCCATTCTACTCAAAAATATAATAACAGACCTTGGACCGATAGAGCAATTAGGAATTAGGAATCTAGTTGAGTTGATGGGATTTTTTGTGAGTTAGCAAACGTAAACGAAGATCTATATACAGCAAAAAACAAGTTCTAGTCATTCTAAAGTTCATCTCGAAAAAGCTAGTAGCAAGCTTCAGCCATTTAAAGCAATTGCACAAATTTGATTCAATCATCTCTTCTCTTTGTCTTTCCTTGTCTTCATTTGGGTCTTTTTTTAAAAATTCTCCAAGAAAAATTGGGTGTGAAATGAAAGAATTGCTCGTAAATTGGTCTATTTCTTTTTGTCGGCCCAGGAACTGGTTCCTAAGGCTATTTGGGTGGCCTGAAAAAGGAGAGGACCGCAGAATACGAAATCAAGCACACAACCATCCCCCCTTTTCCATAAAGTCAGTCCCCTTTTCTCTTTCAAAAGTCGATCTTGTCAAAAATTCACGAAAATTGGAAACATTGAGTGCATTGGGGACATTGATGACCGAGAAACATGACATTTTATTGGAAAGTTTTGATTCCAGACAAAGCTCAAGCTTTTACCATAAACTTGACCGCGAGAGAAAACTAGAAAGCGGCTTTGCTTCATTTCCCTGCATCAATGATACAATTTCTCTAGAAAATGAAATCCAAAAGTGCATCAGAAAGAGTGTGTTTCCATTTCTGAGCCATTTCTGGCCAAAGTACACGCGATTTTCAGCTCTCTGGCGAGATCCGTTTAGCGAAAGCGCTCGACCGAGAAACCCTCGATCGACACGTGCTCAAGGTTTGATCTAAAAACAATATTGATTTCAATTTAATCTAATATTTTCAGGTGACAGCTTTTGAGCGTCTCGATCCATCAATTTCTTCCTCAGCTTCTGTCGTTGTTGAAGTGAGCGATGTGCAGGATAATAGCCCGCAATTTGAACGTGATTCCTATGTGGCTGAGATTTCCGAAGATGCGCCGGTGATTTTTGCATATTTTTATGAATAAGCATTGTTCTTTTAAATGGACTCATTTTTAAAATCACTTTTTTTAACGATTCTATTTGCGCTTACATTTTTCCTAGCCATTATTCCAATTAACTGATCAATTCGAATGTTTAAAGGAAAGTTGTCAATTCGAATTGAATGTTTATCAATCAATTCGAATGTTTAAAGCAAAGAAAAAAAGCTTTGTTTAGCCGCCAAGGCTAAACCAAAGCCAAGGCTAAACCAAAGCCAAGGCTAAACCAAAGCCAAGGCTAAACCAAAGCTAATGGTTTTTAAATTGAATTAACCTGAAATTTCAATCTGTTGAATTTGGCTTAAAAACCTTGGCTTTAGCTTTACTTGACTTGAAAAAGACTTTTCAGGAAAAAGACTGAAAAAGATTTTTCTTTGCCAATCCTCATCTCAGTCTTTCAACTTTTTTAGATTCAATTATTGTTTAATTCTTAATCCTGACTAGTTTAGATCTTTTCTTTTAACGTTTCTCAGTTCAATTCTTCATTTATTCAAGTCTATTTCTTAGTTCTTCCTTATTTTTGGTCTTCTTTTTCTTGAATCTTTCCGATTCTCATCCAAAATCCGGGAAAATGAGCTTTCGGCGAACGGGAAAGGGGAAACTGGAAGAAGCCTCATAAGGGACAAAAGGAATGGCTTTCATTTGCATCTTTCCGATAACAGATCGATTTAGATACTCAGCTGATAGGTACTTATTGTTTACAGAAGTAAAAACAACTTAGGTTCAAGCTAGCTTGATATTCGATTAACTTCCATTACGGCACTAATAGTAGGGAAAGGGGAATTAGAAGAAGCCTCATAAGGGACAAAAGGAATGGCTTTCATTTGCATCTTTCCGATAACAGATCTAGTACGAAAAGATGTCTTTTTTGTGCTTAAAAATGTAAACATACCCCTTTCTAGTGGACAGAGCTTCTCGTTTTTTTTCCACAGAATTGCTTGGTCAGCTTGCTATCGTCAGCAAAAAGAATACTTTTCTGAACCACGAGTTTAAAGAATGCTTTTCTGAGTTAATTTAAGATTTTCATAATTGAGCACGAAGCACCAAAAAGATACGAAATTACGAAGCTTTATCTACTCTTTTTCGTTTCGTTTTTCTTTTTCTGATAGCTGAAAGGAAAAAAAGAGTCTAATGACACCCACAAAACATTTCCTTTAGCCTCTCTAGCCTTAGGGTACACCTCTTTTTCGAATCTTTTTCTTTTTCCAAAAAGAATCCGATCAGTTTCCAACTTGGGAATAATCGAGTTACCCGTCTTTCGGAAAACTCTTTTCCAAAGTTTCCGCCGATTTTACGATTTGCTTCTTTACACAAAAAGGAACACCTTTCATGGGTGATAAAAATTGACAAAGTTTTATAGAAAACATTTCTAAAAACGTTTCTGTACTTATTAATTTTGACAGCGATCTCATAAAGTTAAGTAAAGATTGTCATCTTTTGAACAAAAAGATTTCAAGATAAAGGCACTAGCTCTTGACATTCACCAATTGCTTTTCTTTTTGTTTACAGCTTTTCCTTAAACAAATCTCATTGTTACTTCTTCACTTCTTTACTTCTATTCTCTACTTTCTCCAACTCCAAAAAAAAGTAATCGAATGTGTGTGTATTTGGGTGTTTTTTTGGGAAGAAAAGAACCAAAACGAGGTTTTCTTTTTCTTTTCTCTATCAAAAGAGAGAACGCGACTTTTCTGGGGAAAGTTATTTATGTATAAGAAATGGAAATATGTAGTAAATGTAATTTACTTGGCTTAGCAGTACTTTGGAAAGTAGTACTAGGCTGATAGTTTGATGGGAAATGAGTTGTAAAGGATTCTGATGAACTAAATGAAAGGATTAGAACTTTTCTAGGATTAGGTACAGTTAAAGCCATTGTAAACTGACAATAAGTTGCTTTACAGTTTGTTTAAGCACATTTAGAAAGCAACGGCTTTTTTGCAAAGCAAAGCAAAGCGGCAGTGCTAAGAAGCAGCAATGCTAAGAGAGCAACAATGCTAAGAGGCAATGCTAAGAGGCAATGCTAAGAAGCAGCAATGCTAAGAAGCAGCAATGCTAAGAAGCAGCAATGCTAAGAAGCAGCAATGCTAAGAGGCAGCAATGCTAAGAGGCAACAAGTGACTTGTCTAATTGTAAGTCACAGTTCTGCTCTCTATCTTTAAAATTCTCTAAACTTTACTAAAATTTCCCTCAACATTCTCAAAATTCGTAGCTTTCTTCCCATTTTTGACTTCTTTTTTCCTTTCTCTTTCCATCCTGAATCCATTCCATCGCGAATACCCATTCAAAGCCGCAATTTACGCATTGTTAACCTAGAGGCTGGGGAAAGCCATAGAATTGAGATGATTTTGTTTCTAAAAATAAAAAAAACTAACATCTAGATTGTTTAGAGAAAAATTCTATATTACTTAACATGATATGATTTCAAGGCAATTGAGCTTGAGACTGATTTCAGTACGATTTGGATACTTGAGTGAGCTAAGACTCATTTTGGTCTCATTTTGGTCTTATTTTGGCCCTATTTTGGCCTTATTTTGGTCTCATTTTGTTCAACCAATCGACCTTTCCTTATCACTTTTTGAATACATAATTACTAAAAATCAAATTGCAGATCGATTTAGATACTCAGCTGATAGGTACTTATTGTTTACAGAAGTAAAAACAACTTACCGTAAATACTGTAATAGTACCCCACCCCCACAATGACCGTGCGGAGTGTTGCGTAGTGCTTGGAACGAGTTTTTCTCGACACTGGTTTATGCTACAATGCTCGTTTAGGTATCAAAAAATAGCCCTAAATTTCAGCTATTTTTTGATACCAAAAACGCATTTTTTGAAAGTACGGGCGCTTTGAAAAAAAATGAAATACTAAAAAACTTTTGCGACTACGCGACTGTACGAGGGGGGTGGGGTACTATTACAGTATTTACGGTAGGTTCAAGCTAGCTTGATATTCGATTAACTTTCATTATAGCACTAATAGTAAAAGGTTAAATAAAGATAAGACCAACAAGTACAGCTAATCATAAGTACAGCTAAACAACAAGTACATCTAATCAACAAGTACAACTAATCAACAAGTACATCTAAATAATAAACATAAGAAAGATTTTTGTGCTTAGCTTATTTATATATTTAAAATAGAGCTTTTGTCTAATTTCCTCTCGATTCTTTAGACTCAGTAAAATCGAAGTAATATCGTTGAAAGCTGAGCGAACATTTCCTGTTTATGGGTCAGTTCAAGCAAAAGGGTAATATGACAGAAAATCGATCAAAAGCGGCAACCGCTTGAGGAAAAGGGGAAAAGGGACAGCCGGTTGGCACCAATTTCGGTTTACATAAAAAGAGACACAACGTAATGGGTGTACGTTGAGCTCAAATATGGAGAAGAACCCTTTTTGATGCACCACTGAGACTTACATGGTTACAAAGTACAAGCCAAGCATCAATCTCTAGTATTTGATCCAGTTTAGAGTTCACGAGTCTTTTCCCAATCTAACACAGAGGAGCATGGCAGGTGCTTTCCCCCCGTCGCTCTCCTCCATTCAATCCTTTACCTGTAATTGGGGGCTTCCTTCTCACCCAACCACACCTTTTTTTTCGAGAAAACTTGACTTAAAAACTGTTATTGATCAAGAGTTAACTATAATATTTCAATGTTTATCTAGTTTATTTTACAATTACTTATCATAGTCGATTGATGAGGAGACAGAAGTGAATCCGATAGTCTTTAAGTCTTTAAGTTAAGATCCGATACTCTTTAGTCCGATATCCGGGAAAATCCGATACTCTTTAGAGGTACGATATTCTAGAAGTACTTTCAACTAGAAGTACTTTTAACTAGAAGTACTTTCAACTAGAAGTACTTTTAACTAGAAGTACTTTTAACTAGAAGTTCTTTTAACTAGAAGTTCTTTTAACTAGAAGTACTAGAAGTTCTAGAAGTATTTAAAAGAGTACTTTCAACTGTTCAAGAATATTTCTTTAATATTTCTTTAATATTTCTATATCTTTCAAATCCTAATCTATCATTTGCTAGGAATATTTGTTGGCTAAAAATTCTAGCCACCATTCTAGCCAACAAATTTCCAGAGAGAAATTAGCTTCAAGATGGGTTTCATTTTGAATAATAAAAGGCTTTTCGCTTTTTCCCAAGGGTCGGGGACAAATAATGCAATTAGTATGTGTATTGGGGAGGGTCAGAGTTAGCCTGTAATATGCAATATGTGACCGGGGGGGGGAGACCCTTGTCCCCTTGTGCCCTTGTCCCATCCTTTTCTCTTTCTCGATAGGGTCATCCATCTGTCCCATGCTTCTTTTCATTCACATCTCGTTCATTTGCCTTAAAAAGATACAATCTAAACCCTAAAAAAAGAGTAGTAAGATGAAAAAGAAAGCGATCGTTGAATAGTTTGAGCTTAAAAGCTAAACACAAACCGTTTCTAGCATTGAATGCTTTCGGTAATTGCTTAATCAAAGAAAATCTGTAAGAAAACAAATTGCAGTGCACCAGATTGACTGAGTTTATAAAGTAATCGAGTAAAAACAAGCAGATGAAGAATCAGAGTTCAAAAGCCGCCATTGTAAAGTTGAAAAAGTCAGAAAAAATGAAGCTATTCATTACAGAATATAAAATCAAGTTTTTAAAACTTAAAATTCAAATCCAATAAGTGGAAAGTTGGAAAAATATGGAATTAAGTGCAAAATTGAAAATTCAAAAGCCTAATTTCAGATCGGAACCACTGTTGTCTCAGTGTTTGCCCGGGATCGTGATGCGGGTGCGAATGGAGAGGTTTGCTTTTCAAAGACAGTACTTTCATCGATCTATCTATCTATTGCGCATTTCTTTAAACTCTAATCCTTATCTAATTCTAAACCTTTAGGTTGTCTATTCTCTGGAAGAGGCTGAAGGCTCAGATCTCCTTCAAATCAACCCCAAATCTGGGGTGATTCAAACGGCGGCCGCGCTCGACCGAGAGACATTGCCATTGATAAAGTAGTTTAAAATTTACATCACAATTTGCATATTATGCCGTAATAATACCGTACTCCGTCATAATACCGTACTTCTAGAGTCAACGTGATCGCCTCGGATCAAGGCAAACCCCAGCTCTCATCCAAAGCTCTCATTGAAGTCACTATCAATGATGTGAACGATAATGCGCCTGTTTTTGAACAGGTACAGTAGTTGTGGTTGTCTTAAATGCCTAGTATCCAATGACATTACAGTATTCAAGAAAGTGGGGTAAGCTTTAAAGCATTCAAACCAATTGGGCACGGGTTGGGAAGACAAAATATAGTTGGCGCCGGGATTAGAACCCGCGACCTCTTGCGATCTCGCGCTTATTGGGCCAACGCTCTACCGTATTCCATTGTTGCCAGGATGGGCTTTATTTCCTTATCCAATTACAGTCCAATCTAGACTCTAACTTTTCAGTCAAACTACGACATCACTGTACTCGAGAACACAACGATCCCAGTGGTGGTAGCTCGCTTGAAAGCCACCGATTTGGACAATGGAGCGAATGGAAGAGTTCACTATGGAATGGTCACCTCATCCGATATTCTCCATGTTGATTATAAGACTGGAGAGGTGAACGGTTTCTCTATAAATAAGCTAAGGATATCTAGAAGTATCTAGAGTTCTGTAGAAGTCTGCCAGAAACTGTTTATGTCCATCAGCTGTGATATAACTGTGTCCTAAGTTATCAACTTGTACCAATGTACCTTGGTGTACTAGTTACGGCTATAATAGCTATAAGTCTATTTTATACAAGTTTAAAAACAAAACAATCATTCAGGTGACACTTCGGAGAAAAATTGATGCCCGGAGCGGGATCCGAACATTCGTCGTTCGCGCGAAAGACGGCGCTCAACCAGCGCTCTCCACCACAGCTACACTGAGTCTACAAATTTTGGATATAAATGATCATGTGAAAAATTGACTGGATTACTGTAACTGTAACCTTTTAGGCTCCCCGCTTCATTGCTGCTCAAAAATCGGTGCTGGTTGATGAGGGGATAAAGAAAGGCGAAGAGGTGGCCAGGGTTTACGCGATTGATGAAGACACAGGAGTCAACGGGAAAATCCGATACTCTTTAGAGGTACGATTTCTGTATAAATATAAGTATTACTAGTCAGTAGGTCAACTAGTAGGCCAACTTTGGCTTGTCTTGCTTGTCTGGCTTGGCTTGATTGGCTAGCTTGGCTTGCTTGTCTTGCTTGTCTTGCTTGCTTTGCTTGGCTTGCTTGCCTTGCTTGGCTAGCTTGGCTTGCTCGTCTGGCTTAGCTTGCTTGGCTTGCTTAGCTTGCTTGTCTTGCTTGCCTGACAACAATCTAGTTATTTGTGATCAACCATGATTGAACTTTTCAGCAAGTTAAGATGAATTATAATTTAAATATACTTAAATTAGCATATATTTAATCAATTTTTATTTAGGGCTCATCAGATTTTGAAATCGATCCTGAAACAGGCGTCATTATTGCCAACAAAACTCTTGACCGAGAAGAGACACAAAGATACGAGCTAACGGTTGGGATAAATGTTTTCGATTTGAACGTTAATAACTATATTATCTAATAGGCTATTGTTTATTGATCTTTAAATGTTTATTGATCTATATTTAACAAAAGATTTTCCTTCAAATCTCATCATTTTTTTTGTAGGTAAAAGCCACTGACGGTGGTGAGCCTCAGCTGAGCGCTGGCACGCAGGTTTGGATTTAAATTTGGATTTTATACTATAGATTTATACTATTTTATACTTTTTATACTATTTTATACTTTTTATACTATTGTATACTATTTTATACTATTTTATACTATTGTATACTATTTTATACTATTTTATACTATTTTATACTATTTTATACTATTTTATACTATTTTATACTATTTTATACTATTTTATACTATTTTATACTATTTTATACTATTTTATACTATTTTATACTATTTTATACTATTTTATACTATTTTATACTATTTTATACTATTTTATACTATTTTATACTTTAAAATATAGCATAGATAGTTTTTTTATTTAAATTTTCATTTATACTAATCTTTAGATGACAATTTTGGTTCGAGACATCAACGATAATGCGCCGATTTTTCGACCTGCTGAAATGAATGTCACTCTTTCTGAGGAGACACAAATTGGAGCACAGGTTGGTGAAAAAAGTCGAGTTTTTTTCGAAAAAAGGATTTCACTTAACGATAGTTTTATATAAAATGCTTATAAAATGCTTATAAAATGCTAATTTTTAAGCTATTACTTGTATTAGTTGCTTTATTTACTTTACGGAAAATACAGGGATCAAGCTTTTGATCATCTTTTTTTTGATCATCTTTTTTAATCTATTTTTTTAAGCAAATTCTTGACTACTTGAATTTCTATAGTACGTTAGATAATGTAGATTTAAAATCCAATAACTTTTCAGATAGCCATCGTTCGCGCCGAAGATCGTGACGAGGAACCGAAACTTTTCTATCGAATCGAGCATCAAGATCGAGATGGTTTAGTGGCACTCATCGATTTGGGAGATCAAGTAAATAGAGATAGACTAGTCAAATGTTTTTCTTTTTCTAGATTTAAATGAAATATTTGATTCCAGGGTGCTCTTCTTTCGCTTTCTGAAACGCTACGACCGACAGATCACTCGCTGAAAGTCGTTGTTTCCGCGTCAGACGATGGAGGACTTAAAGGGACTTGTACGATCAATATTCATGTGAGTTGGAGAGATTTAAGAATAAGAAGAGATAAGAATTTGGTTTTAAATGTGAATCTATTCAAATCCAGGTGACTGATGTGAACTCTCCGCCTCGTTTCCCACCACAACCATTTGCCGTGCATATCCCTGAGGATTCCCTAATTGGAAATCAAGTGATCGTTGTCAGGGTATGCAAGAAAATTTCGTTCTAATTTCATTCTAAAAGACAAATTATAGAGTTTAGATTATGCTAATATGATTGACTTTAGGCTGAAGACACAGATCGCGGTGACAACGCTGAGATCACCTACTCGATTGACTCTGATCTTTTCGAGATCAACAATGTGACTGGAGAGATTACGGTAGCTGGCTTATTGGACCGAGAAGAGCAAAGCAGTCATAGGTGGGCTTTAAAACTCTCACAATAGTTTGCCTTAACTCACCAGCCACAATAGCTTGCCTTAACTCACCAGAAGAAGTGGCTGACCCTCTTGAAATTGAGTGGTTGACCTCAATAGGTTGTACAGTAAAGGATAAGCTACTCTGGCGGCACCACATCAGCGCAATTGGTAGAGCGTTCGCCTGGTAGAGCTGGTAGAGATCCGCAACTGGTAGAGCGTAAGCAGTCGTGGTTTCGAGAGGCGGCGGGTTCGAATCCGCCAGCTGCTTTTTGTCTTGTCCACCGGCAGCCATAAAAAGACCGACATGTCCTAGCTATATTCTTATTTTTAGTCTAACTGTAACTGCTACCGACTCAGCCGATCCTCCACTCAGCTCGTCGACAATCATCGAAGTTACCCTGGATGACGGTTTGTAATAGAAAAATACTTTTGTGCAACGCCAGCATTCAACAATGCACTAGAAATGGAACTGACTTTAAAACGTAAATGAAACTGTTGAAATTGAAAAAATAACCCTAGCTAATCTAACTCCAATGTTTCCCAGCTTTCCACCACCAGCCCCAGATTGTTTTCACGCATTTCCTCTAATTCCGTCACTAATTTCTTCTTTTCCTTAATGCGAAATGACTCAAAATGATTATATGAGAAGGCAACTGTGCAAATATGGACAAATGGGGGATGTCTGGATGCCTTTTTGTCCTCAAAAGACATGGCTCAATATCAAAAAGACTAAAAGGCAGCCTCCCAGCCAGCTGTCACCACCTATTTACCGGAAATTCTCATTCTCTCCCATGCCATGATTCTAATAGTAAGGCTATAAGCCGAAAATTCGAGTGTCTCTTGGTGGGAATGAATAACAATTTGACGGGAAGTGAGATTGTGGTTTGGGAAACAGGAAAAGAATTCTATTGTTTCGATTTAAAATTTGATTGGATTGGTGTTTAAAGCAGATGCTGGCTTAGGGATTAGATGGGCTAGGGTCAGGGTTAGGCTAGGGTAAGGATCAGGATCATGAAAAGGCCAGGGTCAAGCTAAGGTCAAGCCAGGTTCAAGCTAAGGTCAAGCCAGGGACAGGGCCAGGGTAAGCTAGAGCTAGAGCTAGAGGCTAGAGGTCAGGATTAGGCAGATTGTCTGGCCTTGTCCGTGAGGTGATTTTGAGTTTGACTTTCTACTAACTATAAGATTCCGAAAAGCCGAAGAGCATACATGAGTTTTTAGCTTAGAAAAATTGATAGGATTGGATTGGTGCTCAAAGCAGGTGCTGGCTTTGAGCTCACAGGCTCAGAGCAGAAAATGTTCTGCGTGTTAGAAGGCGGTTTCAATTCTATTAAACGATTCTTGATCTAATCTCTTTTCTTCACCCTTTGAACTTCTCAATAATCGGGGTTTTTATTTGAAAGGCATTCAATATGAGGAGAAATTAGCATATTTCAAAATGTCTGAGGTGAAGAGAGATTATCGCACTGCGGGATCTCTTTTTGGGGAAATGGAAAAGAAATGTGGAAGGTAAAAATTTCGTTAATAGATTTTAGAGATGTAAAAATAGATATATATATTTAAATGCTTGATATTCAGTGAACGATAATGCTCCCGAATTTTCCTCACAAAATTATATGGCCACTGTTTCGGAGGATATCGCCGTCGGCACGTCATTTATACAGGTTAAAAAGGGTTTTTTTTGGAGGGGAATTCCCATTAGAAATTTCATTGTTAAATGCAAATGTTTGTTAAAAATTTGTTAAATGTAAATTTCATTCATCAAGCGTTGCAAAATTTTCATTTACAATAAGGTTTATTGAAATTAGCAAGAACTAGTACAGTAGGCTTACAGTAAGCTTGCAGTAAGCTAACAGTAAGCTAACAATAAGCTACAGCATCCCTTGGTACCAGTAAGCTAACAGTAAGCTTACAGTAAGCTTAAAGTAAGCTACAGCAAGCTTAAAGTAAGCTACAGTAAGCTTAAAGTAAGCTACAGCAACCCTTGGTAGCAGTAAGCTAACCGTAAGCTACAGTAAGCTACAGTAAGCTAACAGTAAGCTACAGTGAGCTAACAATAAGCTACAGCAGCCCTTGGTAACAGTAAGCTTACAGTAAGCTATAGCAACCCTTGGTACCTGTCTATTCCATAATAACTACATAACAACTATATAGACATTCTATTCTAATGAAGATCTAAGTTTAGATAGACTTTTTTGTACTATTCGATTTCATAAAGCTACCTCAATCCTTAGCAAATCACTGAGATCTCATTTTTACTTTTCTAAACTTTATTCACGGTATTATATGTAGACTATTACATAAATTAGTACTGTAGTATAAAGAAATACTGTAATTGTAGTTATCTACAGCTTCAAAAAAAACATATAAAGCTTTTTCTAGGAAAATGAAACAGAAAACGAAACGATAACTGATCCCAAAATGAGATTCACTCAAACTTTCTCTTTCAAAAGATTGTTTGCTTGATTCCAAGATTTCTATACATGATAGTTTTCTTTAAAAATAGGATATTTGAATGATTACAGATCATGGCCACTGATACAGATGGTGGAACGAATGGAATTGTCGACTATTTCCTGAATGCAAGTGGCATCGGAGCTGAGCTTTTTCGCTTGGATCGAACCTCGGGCACACTGAGAGTCAATCAAAAATTGGATAGAGAAAAGTTGCCAATGTGAGTTGATGAAAATCTATTATAAAATCTATCTATTAAGTCTATCTAAAAGTCTGTCGATCTAAAATCTATCTATCTATTGAATTTCAAATCAAAAAGAATCAAATTCATGACAAAAATTTGCAAACTTTTTTTTAAAACTTCAATAATGAAAATAATATTGCTCAAAAATCAAGAAATTGAATTTTTTTTGAAAACTGAACAGCCTATCAACGTCAGAAGCATCAGAAATCATCAGAAATCATTTTCTAACTTCTAATTTTACAATCACAGCCTTTTGGCTTCTTAGATTTCCTTCTGAACTTGCTTTTGCCAGTCCTTTGCAATAAAATAAAATAATTAACACTGAATATTTGAAATTCAAACAAATTCAGCTGACAAGCTTTTGTTTTCTCTGTCCAAAAAGTTATTTACATTACTAGTTGCCAAATAATCCCACCAAGCTCATAATTCTTCTAGTTCTTTAGATCCAAAAACGTTTTTCTTTATACTTGCCCCGAAAATTATGGCCTGAAATTATGAACGGACTTGGCAAAAGTCAAAAAGAATCCCATTCCTGTCTCCACATCGAAAATGGGTCTGTTTTTGCATCTTTTAGCTCTTTCCCTTTTATCCAAAATACTATGGCGAAATTTCTCATTTGCAATTTCCCTCAAAGGACCCAAATGGGTGAAGGGAGGGCCATTTACGGGGGTTACTACGGGCAGAAAAATGGCATCGAATTGGGTGGGGAATGACTTTATTTTCTTGAGAAAATCAATACTAACTATATGAAAGAGAAAGCTTAAAGAAATAGGACTTGTTTCTTATTTTATAGCCTTGATAAAGGATTTTGAAATGAAAGAATGAAGAAAGGTGAAAGGAAAGAAGAAAGAAAGAAGAAAGAACGAAGAAAGAAAGAAAAGAAAAGTACTGAAAGTCTGTAAAAAGTACAAAAATATTAAAGATCTAGATTTTGATTTGATCTAGATTTGCTCTAGATTTGTTCTAGATTTGCTCTAGATTTCCTCCAGATTTCCTCTAGATTTGCTCTAAATTCAATCTACTATTACCTTTTTTAATCATAAGCCTAATATCATTAAACTTAAAAACAAGAATATCTCTTTAGAATTACAAAAAACTATTTCAAAATATCTCTTTAGAATCACCCTTCCGGTGTACGCGAAAGATCGTGGCAGTCCACCACTCAGCGCCAACTCTATCATCACCGTCATGCTACAGGTAAAATCAAGGCCAACTTTATTTTGCGCTGACTACCCTGACTGACTGGCTAAGAGCTCTGCATCTTAGTTGGGAGATCAAGGGTTCAACCTCGCCAGCTAGACGTCAACTAGTTCAACCAGGCAGAAGGTCAGAAGCCAGATCCTGGACTTTCTTGAATGACTTTCAAGTTAGACTTTAACTGGCCCAATTTTTATTACAGGTTTCGATCAAATCTATTCATATCTTTACAGGATGTAAACGATAATCCGCCAAAATTCTCGCAATCATCTTATGACTTGTGGATAGCGGAGAATGCTCCGGCAGGCACCCTTGTTGGCACGCTAGTCGCCACGGATCCTGATGAGGTAAAAGTTTAAATCCTAAAAGTATAATTCATACAATTTGATATAGTAATTGTCTTTAAATTCGTCTATATGCTAATTTCATAGTTAAAAAATGAAAACTCTTGATGCTTTTTCGCGGAATTTGTTTTTAAAAATCGTTTATAAAAAAGAATAGTGTAATTAAAATTTACTATATAACAAAGGTATTATATAGGCTTTGTTATAGGCTGATAGGCTGTTATAGGCTGTTATAGGTTTCTAGGCTGAGATAGGCTTATAGGCTGTTATAGGCTGATAGGCTTTGTTATAGGCTTATAGACTTTGTTATAGGCTTCTAGGCTGTGATAGGCTTATAGACTGTTATAGACTTATAGGCTTCGTTATAGGCTTATAGACTTTGTTATAGCCTTATAGACTAGTAAGTTTAACTAACATAATAGAAAAGCATTGTGAATAGCTATTTCTCAGGGATCAAATGCAGAGATCGAGTTTCGTGTCTTTGGCGGTACAGATGCTCGTCTCTTTGAGCTCGAATCGGATCCAATACAGGTAGAAAAAATGAAATTTAAACTTAAAGATTATTTCAAATTTCATAAATAATGCAAATTTCAAAATTCATTTCAGAAAGGAGTCGTGAAACTGCTCTCAAAGCAACCTTTCGACTACGAGAGCAAGACGAACGCTTTCAGCTTAGAGGTTCAAGCGTCCAGGTTTGTTTGCACACTTTTTACTTAAGAATTTGCATATGACAAATCTACATTCACCTTTGCATACTATAGTACAAGATTTACGATGAAAATCCCGATATTTAGCGGTCAACTCTCATCGACAGTGCCCGTTCGTGTCCATGTCTCTGATGTGAATGATCATCCACCAACATTGCGATCATCAGTTCTCTTGATTAATCGTTTCTTAGATGGACCGATTATTGAGAAATTTGGATCAATCCCAGCTTTGTGAGTTTGTGGAAAGCTTGGCTATGGCTGGCCATTACTGTCATGACCGACTTGTTAAGAGTTCTCTACAGTTAAGAGTAGTCAGGAGTCAAGAGGCAAGGGTTCAATCCTGTCGGCAGATTATTGATTCTTGTTTTAGATGGATTTGGGCTTTAGCTATTAATCTGCTTTAGCTTTGCTATTTCTTTACTATATCCACAATTCCAGTGATCCTGATCAAAATGCGACTCTGGAGTACTCGATTGAGTCAAACGATTTAATGATCAAGGATCGATATTCAGGGAAAATTCACCAAAGGCTCGTGGAAAAGGGAAATAATATTGATACAATTTTGAAAGCATGCGTTAGTGGTGAGTGTCTTTAAATATAAATCAAAGAAAAAGGCACAGAGATGTTTAATCTTTAATCTTTAATCTTCACCTAATCCACCTTTAATCATTAATCTTTTACTTTTAAATAAAGCTCTAATTCCTGATTGATTTCGGGTCTGCAATCGCTTTCTTTTGTCAACTTTTAAAAAACAATTGTAAACTTAAAATTTCAGATTCTTTACAATAATCTCTAATTTTATCCAATCATCTTCGTGACTTTAAAGCAAAAGAAAAAAAGGAAAAATGCTTATTGTTAGACATTAGATAAAAAAAGAGATTAAAGTAAAGGAGAAAGCTGGAAAAAAAAGTAAATTAAAGTTTAAAAAAGTTAAATATAATCAAAAACATCAACTCGGAACAAAGTTCAAAAAAGATCACCCAAAAAGAAAAGTTGGATTAATAAACCGAACCTCATAACTCTGTTCAATCATAGTTTTGAAAGAAACAAAGTGTTCCAAGTGACTTTCCAGATGGGGTAAACATATGGTGGTGCAAACCCGTTGCGCTTAGTCCCTGAAACCTGGCTATTCCGCAATGATGGCTTTCTGAAGCAGTGGACCGTAGTCCTAAAGTCGATCAACGAGATGATTTCCTTGATCCAGACGTTTTCAAGAGATTCAGGTACCAGATTGAGGAAAGGTTTTATTGGAATTTCAAATCACTATTTCTCTTTCAGACAATCAATCGCTTCTCTCTCGATGGGCGGAGAAACCTCAAGTGAGTGACAAGTACAAAAAAGGATCGAATGTACCAACGGAGACCTCATTTGTAGACTTTGGATCGAGGGAGAATTGTTAGGTAAAGAATTAGATGTTAGTTTGGGCTTTAAAATCGACATCCTTGCACGAGAAATCTTTACTTTTCTTGCGTCAAAGCTTGTCCAATTGACTGAAATGCTTAGAAATCTTAGTATATCGTCTGAAAAAGATCATTGATTCGATCTCGGGAAATTCGACTTTAGAATCTAATTGGCAAACATGCTGGCTTATTAGCAAGAATTCTGGCACAGAGTCCGTCAGGGGAAAGGATGTCATACCTTTTTGAGCAAGGATATAAGGTTGGTGAAAATTATTTCGAAATATTGTACAATACAGCACTTTCCCTTATTTCATGAATCAACCAGGTGTTGGTGACAGAAAAGAGCAGATCGGATCACCGAAACAGATCCAATAACGACAATGATCTCCCTTCTCCTCCTTCTCTTTTCCCTCTGTCTTTCCAATTCAACAATAGTGGACAGATGTTTCGTGGCGCAATATTTGGAATGAAACCCTTTCTTTGTCTCTTCCATGAGAATCTAATATCCTTGAGGCAAAACACTCAAAAATCTGTTGATAGTTTGAGAAAATAAATTGTTGAAGGGGCTGGAAACCAAAAGGTAGCTTACATCTTTTTCTTTTCTTGACAAATCCGGGTACCGGGTAGCTCAGTGGTTAGGAGTATCGGAACTGGAGAAGAGGGTCAGAGGGGATCGAACGGAGAGGATCGAATCAGGGGGACGAACCCTCAGACCTTCCGATCGGAAAGCGAAAAGTCCAGGGGTCGATCCTCCGAAAATATAAACTTTCTCGATTCCTTCACTTCTTTATTACATTTGAAAGATTGTGGAAAACTAATCCAACGTCATAAAGGATAAGATTACGTTTTGTGGAGAGTCTGAGGTCCTCTGCCAAAGGTAAAGCCTGTACCGGTCACAGAGCAGCCAGTGACCCCAGGACGAAGAAACCTCAGAGAGCTTTCCATCTGGCTATAATGCGTTTTCTGTAAGGCAATCTAAGCTACCGCAATCAATCCATCGAAATCCAAATTTTGAAATTCACATTTAAGGTCTATAAACTTGTCACTTATAAATGCCTCTAACGTGAAAAATGTATGTGTTTGAAGGAAATGTTCTCCTTTTTGCCAGCTGTCAAAATGAACTGGATTTGGATAAGTAGAATTGGGGAAAGAAGTCAAGAAAAGATACTCAGCAAGGGTTTGGGGAATACGAAAAGACAAAGAAGAATCAAAGATCCCAAGAGGGAAATTAGAAATTGCACGGGATACGCGATGTGAATGGGAATTCAGAGTTTACGAGGGAAAAACTGAGAAGATTATTCGAAAAAGGCACTGTTTAGAAAGCTATCAGTAAAGAGTTCACAACTAATGTAGTCTAACATAATTTTAAAAATGGGCCATTTTTAGAAATCCAGACTACCAAACACCTAAACAGGCAGTCCTTTCGTACCAAATAATGAAAGCTTCCAAGGTTGAGATACTAAAATTTCAATTTATCGAAGTTTAACGGGAAAACAAATGGGCTAGGAAAAGGCTAGGAAAAGTCTGTGGTTTTAAAATTTCGAATCTCAACTTGGTTTGGGTAAAATGAATCGAAATCTAAGCTTAGCTTATAACAACAGCTTATAACAGCTAAATTACTAGCAGCACAACAGTCTCTGAGCGGGATCTCTGGCTTTTCACAAACTCTCCTCACTTAGTCTCCTTGACATTCGAATTTTCGATCGGACCATGTTCGAATGAACCCTGTTCGAATTATCAACGATGTCGAGATACGCTGAAGTTTGTGGGGAAATGAGGTAAACGCTGACATTCAAGGCTGACATTCATAACAGATTCACGACGATACAACCGCACCGCTGAGCTGTACTAATGTACCGAGTTGTACTACTATTTCAGTTTTACCAAACTGACAACTCTTTTGAGCGCACCGTGAAGACATTAAAGACGTACGTCTGTGAATGCCCGCCTGGATTTGCAAGTTAGTTTTTTTCTTGTAAAAATTGTAAAATTATAGCTTTGTTTCATCTTTCCGAGTCTTTTATGTGAGTAGCGCTATCTATATTTGAACTAAAATCTTTCAAACCTTCTTTCAATACCATTGGGTAATAGAAATGGTGGTGACATATTAGGACTGACTACTCAATATAATTAGCATCTGAAAGTGAAAAGAGAGATACATAAAAGGGACTTGATGATGGCCGCCTCGACACTAATTGAATGGAATGGATAAGGAAAAGAACGGTACGGAATGACCAGAAGGAAAGGGCTGGAGAAAGGGATCGAGAGAATTAAATGTTCAACGAGAACCTCCTACTTCAACTTATCAACTAGTCAAAGAGCTCCGGTAAACTAGAATGAATGCGTTTTAGCTTCTTAACACAAAAGTACAGCTAGTAAAGGGATAGGGGCTTGGTGATGGAAAGATCTTACAACAATTCAAATTCAAATTATCTATGAAAATTTTGGGGGTTTGAAGTTGGTTTCCTTTATCAAGGATATAGCCGGGAGAAATCTAGTGAAACTATTTACTATTTACTCCAGAAGTTTGGGCAAGCCCTTCCGATAAAGCCGCATAAATGCGATATTCGAGTTGATGAGTGTTTTTCGGGACCGTGCCAGCACAATGGAAGCTGTTTCCCGCTTGAGAATGGGTATCGATGTGAATGTGAGAATGGATGGAATGGTGAGTCGCTGATATCATTTAGATCCCTTTAGATCCCTTTAGATTCCTGACCCTTTTGAACCCTTAGATCTATTTAAATCCCTTTAGATCTCTTTAGATCCCTTTAGATCCCTGTGGTTTATCCCTTTCTTTACCATAATATTTAAATCCATTTACATTATTCAAAACCGTAAGTGTCTGTTGTAAACTGTAGAGTATTCAGCTAAATATCTTAGTGTGAGTATGCTGTCGAATACGGAGATATTTATTTGAATTGTCGACAAGTGCAAGCTTTATGATTCGGTTATAGATTTAAGCTTATATGAAATCTGATGAAATAAAATAAAACCAAACCTTTACCAATCCCAAAAGTCTACCTCTCTCTTCTTTCACTTTTCCATAGCCTAGTACCTCAGAACACACGGAAATGTGGTAAAAGTGAGAAGGTCCCGAGAGTATTCGGGAAAAAGAAAAGAATTGAGGCTCTTGTTACGCAACATCGTGAATGACTGCACATGAATGGGCCATTGCCCTCTTTTCTCCACTTTCCCTTTGGTGCCACTTTTTAATTAAACTTTTGAATAATGGATTGGGACACCCTTTGGATTCTTTCAAGGCTCTTTTCTCTTTCTTTTCTTTGTTTCAATGAGCCTTTCTCATTCGGAAATGGTGAGTCGAAGAGAAAGGAAAGGGATCAAATTTAAGGCTGTAGAATTGGTAGGGAGTAAAAACAAGTAAAAATTTAAACGACCAAAACCAGTCAAGTTTTTCTACCAAAGTATTAACATGCAAATTCACAGAAAGATATCAAAAGTTTAGATTTTAAAAAACTAGAGTCAAGATTACGATAGTTTTCGAAAAAGTGCCCATTGTAGAAAAGGGAATTGAAATTTTCAAATAAAAAACCCATTGTTTCTTTGTTTAAAGAAATTCTAGAGTTGCATAGCTATTTCACTTGTTATTACCAAAGTAGGTCTGAACAAATTATTAGAAGGGGCTTATGAGATTTTGTGTCTTGATGGGGATGAAGCTAAATTGTTGACAATTTCAACTCCAAAAGTGGATTCTTAGAGAATCCCTAGAAAAGAGAAGAGAAGAGAAGAGAAGGGAAGTGAAGAGAAGAGCAAAGAAGGGAAGAGAAGGTAAGGAAGGGAAGAGAAGAGAAGAGAAGAGAAGAGAAGAGAAGAGAAGAGAAGGGAAGTAGAAGAGAAGAGAAGGGAAGTAGAAGAGAAGAGACAGGGAAGAGAAGAGAAGAAAGAAGCTAAGTCAAAAAGACATGAAAGGAATCCTGTCTCTAGATAATTCCCCTAATTTACGGCGGATCCGTAATTTTCCTCTCTGCCAATCGTGGTAAATAGTTTGGTTTAAGTGGGTAAAAGTGTAGGATCGAAAGGGGGAATTTTGAGAATCAAATGCTCTACACTTTCCCTACACAGTTTAACGGAAGATTAAATTGGGAAATTGAATATAGGAACCATGGGGGGGGAAACTAGGGCTTTCCATTGTAAGTCGATTCTTTGTCGATTTTTTCTTCAAACTTTCCCCCGAACTCCTCCCTAATCAATTAGTTTGTCACACTTTATGCATTTGTTTTTCGATTGGAAATGTGAAGAAAAAGAGCAATTAGGGACTTAGTTAGATGAAAAGAGAATGGTAAAAAAGAGAAGAAATGGACACGCGATTCCTTCTTGAAGGATCCAAAAATAAGACGCCTCCGATTTGCCACACACAACAAAACTAATATGAAAATTGGGGAAAAAAACCCTTGGGGATTGACTTAAGCTCTCTAGTTTTTATGTACTGAAATCCTGGGTTCTGACTGGAAAACCTACTTTTGTACTGGAAGGAAAATAAAATGAAAATGCACTGGAAAATGTACTGGAAAATGTACTGGAAAATGTACTGGAAAATGTAGAAAATGTACATATTTCGGTGCACTTAATCCTTCATTTTCCTTCAACAATTCAACAAATTTACACTTTCCTGCAAAGTTTAGATTGAAGAAGATTAAATTGGAAAATTATTGAACTGTTGAATCTATTGGAATTGTTGAATCTATTGAATTGTTAGAAGGAAAATAGCGGGTACTCAATCTAAAGTTAGCCTCTCATCTAAAGCTAACTTTATAAAGAAAGATTTGTGCTGATTTCAGGAAAACACTGGGGAGATTTCGACAAATAGTAGCAAACTGCCTTCCGGGATATCAGGTAAAAAGATGGGGCAACTCCCGCGAAGTGACAAATGAGCATAAAAGTGAAATGCACAAAGTGTCGACATTCAGCGATTGATAGTGATGAAAGGTGAATCATTGCTATTTTCCAAAACAAATTTCCTCTAATCCTAAGTAGGAAGTAAACGATAAGTGTTAAAAAGCCGAAATTCAAAAAATTTGATAGCTTAAAGTTTTGTAGCTCTTGTAGAACTTGTTTTTAAAATTTGTAACTCAAAAAAGCCAGAAATGATAACTGTAAAAAACTAAATTTGCATATTTCTAGATGTCGTCTCAGATCGGTACACTTTGGAAATGAATCACTGCCACGGATCAATGAAAACCCAAGCAGAATCGATTCGGACATTGAAGATCAGGTAATAGATGGCTAAAATTTTCAATTTAAGGTCAATCCATCATTGTAAAATGGAGTTACTTGGTATTGGTTAAAAGCTATTTTCAAAAAAATCTGTTTCTAGTTTTGCTAATAGTTTCTCGAGCCGGTACCGATCCTTCTTTGTCGGGGATCGAAGTAACCGATTTCTTGAGTTGTCGATCGAGAATCGGGGATTTGAGAGCCGAATTTGGGGTGAGTGGAACAATAAGAATTAATCTCATATATAGTTTAAATGTTTCTAAGAAATCTAGGCTTGGCGGTCAAACGAAACTCGCTGAATTGAGTGACGAGAAAGAGAATCGAATAAATGAGACGGACATTGGCAAACACAGCGACCATCACTTATTTCGAGAGGGTCAGGCTTTGATTGAACTATCGATTTTAATCTGGAATATTACAAGAGTAAATCAATTTCTAAGGTTAGAGCTGGCTGTCGAGTTAAGCTTTTTAAGTCTTCTAAATATTCTAAAAAGCATGAAGATTAAGTGCAAAGATAATTCAGTAAGCTTTCCCTGACGAGCAAAGTCTTTCAAGCAGAAGCTCGCTGAGTGTTAAGCAAGCAGCTTGGGATGAAGCGATCTGGATGATAGCTTCATCTATTGCTCATCATTTTTTAGTTCCCTCAACTTTATGTCCCCTAGAAATCTACAAATCTAAAATCTACAAATCTGACTTGAAAATCGAAGCTTTCTTAATCTGTCAAAAGCCTTTTTAAAAGAATAAATAAGGATTTTTATTGAGATAAAAGCTAAGATTTTTAATGAATTGTGCATTAGTTATTTCAAAAAAGGGCCAAAAATAAGTCTACAAACTTTCAAGTTGCAACTATGATAAGGGGAAGATAAGCACACTCTTAAGATAACTCCAGATGGGTACACATAACACTCTTAGCTATCAAAAGCTATCAACACAAGAAATAAGCTTTTCAAATTTGATCAAATTACAGTGTTGAAAAGTTTAGATAAAGTCAATCAAATGTTCTTTTTAGACGTTGACTCTTTGGTTGGATGATTATGATCCGCTTGTTCTCGTTTAGCGGCTGGATCACCGAATTGCGCTACTCAGGCCACCAACAAACTACCAGCAAAGGGAGTTTTATTATTTAAAAGTTATATTTATTTAGTTAATTATTTTAAAAGTTTATTTATTTCGATACATCATATTAATAAATTATTGATAAAGTACTTAAAATAGCTAATTTAGCTCCTGAATGGTATTTAAACAGTAAGTGAGACCTGGCAACACTAGTTTTGTGAAATTTGACCTCCAAGCACTGGAAGCTATGTTTTGTGTACACTACTAGGGAAAATGAAAGCTAAAACGACTGGGCCCGCTTATCCAATTGTAAATTTATAATTATAACCTTAAAAGTTATTTTTTGGTTATCTTTGTGTTTACTGTTCCAAGTATCTCTTGCCCTTCCCCATTTTCCGGAGCTTCTTTCCCTCAACTAAATTTCATTTCGGGGGTCAGATGCCTCGATCCATCCATTCAATGCCATCCGCTTTTCGACTCAATCCGGCTCCTCCTCTCTCGGCGGTCGACCCAACAAAAGCCGCCAGGTGAGCCCCTGTCCTCGTTGGTGAGATGGCCGAGCGGCTCACAAGCGCCAGTTTAAGGCACTGGTCTCTTCGGAGGCGGGCCCAGTCCCACCTCATCAGAACTTTTGCTTTCAAGGATTAAACCACTCGCTGGAGCCTGTTTAGGGGTAGGAGAGAATGGATTTAATGGATGCTATCAAATTTCACGCTTCTGATCTCCACGTTGATCGACTTTCGAATCTGCAAGATTTCGAGAAGATGATTGGGGAAGTTGAGGAGGTGAATAAAATGCAAAAGCTTCATATCGAAGAATATGACATTGAGAATCAGGGTTGGGGTCCAAAGCGTGACTTTTGTCGTGAATCTTCCTGTGGACATGGGCACATTGTGTACAGGAATAGGTAAAGAAAGCTGATGCAGTCATCCTTGTACAATTGTATACGTATTCCCAATTTAGTCTAATGGATAGAATTCTAATCTTTAACTTATTTGTAGATGGATGGGTCAGGTCAGTAATTATCGGATAGTGGGGATCGGTTATATGTTCCAACAAAATCGGTGATTGTCACGGGGAAAAGTCGAGATTGAGGCAGATCACATTGGGGGTGAAGAGGAATCGTTTCAAAACTTGGAAGGTTTGTTTAGCTGAGGATTAGCTGGAAGTCTATAGCCGGGGGGGGTTCAGAAAAAAAGATTACTGTAAATGAAAGATTGCAAAAGCAGGAGATGACTGTAGCAGGAGAATACTGTCACAGGTGTGCCTCTTCCTCAATGGCGTCGATTCCATTCAGTGTGTCGCTTGAGTTCCATACGATTCGCGATGACACTCAGATTTTCGCGATTGAATTCGATGACAAGAATCTGTTCTATATTCTGGCAGCGGAACTACAATGAAAAACATAATTTCGAAGATTTTTAGCCAGAAGATGGCCTATTGAAAATCGAATACTGGCTACCAGCGCAAAACATCCCGTGCCCCAGATAAGCCAGAGGACATTGGACAAAGGTGAGATCGGAAATAAAAACAGAACTGATATAATCAAGCATGTACTTAACCACATTTACGATATGATCCACCGGTGGACTTGCCAAAAGTACTATGAGTATTTTTCCAGTTTAAGTTGTTTACAGAAAGCCTTGGTTTAAGATTATCTCAAACGCCTTGGAATTTCCATAAAATTTGCATAAAGGTCCAGGGCGGGACACCTAGCATTTAACTGTGACGAGAGAAATAATTGTGTTTCTTTTGCAGACTGAAGTCGAATTTAAAGCTACTGACGAGGTGACGACGATCGTCGATGGAATCTACTCGAAGACACAATCGTTGCGCTTTGGGTACTTGAGGAAATCAGAAAATGACGTCATTCTATTCGGGAATCGCCCCCTCATCCTCACATCCATCCCTGCTCTTCGAGGGATGCTTTCGAAAAGAGATTCAACTAAATGGTGCGTTCAACAAAAACGAAACACCGAAAAAGGTGCTTGATTTGGGTCACTGTAAGCTGTGCTTAATAAAGGTTTCAATACCTTTCTGTGTTTCAAAAGTGAAACAAAATCAACCGTCATGAAGATCTTTCTTAAAAAGTGTAGAACTGTAATGATATAGTAAATTTTGAAAACTAAGGTCCGACAGGGCTGCGTCTCGACAAAGGCTGGCCAAGCGGCATGCCCAGAGAACCCCTGTAGGTGCCGACCACTTTGGGAAGGACACAAATGTGAATGTGAAACGGTTAGATTTGATCTTTCTTTGAAAAACTTCCAGTTATAAACAAGCTGTTGGCACATAAAGAAAAATTAACAACAAAGTTCATACAGTTACAGTACTGAATCCAACATTTTGTTCAGTCCTTATCTTCTCTCACAAATTCTTTCAGGATTCGCTGGAGCCTCGTGCGTAGATCCGATTTGCTCACCGAAAGGTGTTTGTTCGGGTGGAATATGTCAACAAACAAACACCACAAAGGGATACGAAGGTTACTGTACAACAGGTGAGATATTTGAAGGTCACTGTAGGCTGATTTGACTTGAATAATTGACTTGTAGCTGACTGACTTGTAGCTGAATCTGGACTTGTAGCCGACTGATTTTGTAGCTGACTGACTTGTGGCTGACTGACTTGTAGCTGACTTTTAAACAATTACTTCCAGGCTACGGTACACCAAATATGGATCAATGGCACCGTTACGTAGTTGATTTCACGGGGTTGGTGGGGAAGATTTGGAAATGTCGTCGATGCGGATTGCTCACAATATATGGGTTCACTGATCAAAAACATCCGCGAATCGCCAATGCCGTGCCCAGTGAGTTATTAGTTTCGAATACGAATTGCGTCAATAAATCAAGAACAAAATTTCAGAAAGCCTCTGGGAGCTGGGAGGACGATGCATTGGATGCGAGGTGGATTGGGTGCAACATCGGAAGAGTGCGAAGTGAAGGGACAATGTCCAGGTGCTTTGAGAAGTGATGGGAAGGCGATGTGATCGGATGCGAGAGTGACACACACAAGTGGGAGCAAAAAAAATTGTTAAAGAATCGAGTACTTTAGTAATCGGATCAATAAATAAAGTTTACTTTACTTCAAGACCTACTTAGTCCAGGTTCTTTAATTCCAAAATCGCTGCGTTGTTTATCGTTGCGTGGGCGATGTCCTTTCAACAAAGACGGCGGTATTCAATGGCCGACAACGTTGAGTGGCGGTGGGCAAAGCAATCTGGTGCGAATAATGAGGCGAGGGAAGATAAGGATTTAATTATATAAGTATTTTAAAAATCTGCCAATTGTTTGCGGTAAACGGTTAATCAAATTTTAGACCGGCTTGGCAACCCGAAAATGCCGCAGGCGAGAACGCAAAATGGCAAACTGGAGAGCTGGAAAAACAAACACGAAAGAGTTTTCCACGAACATCGCCAAAGGTATTCAAGTTAGATTATAGATTTAAGTATGAAATCTAGATATATATAGATAGATATCTAAATATAAATCATTTTAGGTCTCAAGTTTGGGCCCACAAGACATCGTGAGCGCCGTCTACAATGCGTCGCGTGATGAGGACAGTTTTAAAGGTACGAAAACAGGATTCATTTGTTTAAAGAAAACGAAATAGAGAGAAACTAAGGTAGATTTATTTTGTAAATAAATCTAATTATTTAAATTCTAGGGTCGAAGCCTTGAAATCGGTCGTTTGGTGCTCGAAAAAGTGCTCGAGGGAGAGATCGCTGAGCACGCTGCCACCCATATTCATGATCACGATTTCACACGGAAATTGATCGACTCAGTGGCGCAGGTAACTTTATAAACAAAATTTACATTTACATTTACATAGCTAATTCTAGCTTTTGAGCCTCAACACCAAGAATTACTACTTGAATTTCTATAAAAGGTTTTACAGTACTTCAGGACCCAATTAGATACTATTTTTCAAAAAAAACTTTCGAGAAATATATAAAAAGTTAACTTTAGCATTAGAAAATTGCATTTCTCTAATCTTTTTACTTAGAAAATCTAAAATCTCTCTTAGATCCTACCCCGAGAATCACCGGCTCAATCCGTGCTGCTTGGCGCGAGATTGGCCGAGCTTGGGAAAGCACTCTTGCATCTTCATCAAAATCGACCCTATCTTCAACCATTCGCTGTTCAATCCGAGAATATCTGTAAGCTTCTAACTCTAGCTGATTTTCAGATAAATCTAATCTAAAATGAAATCTAATCTAATTTAGAATCTAAATTTCAGTGTTTGCAATCGATCGACTTGACAACAACGAGCTTTTGCCTAAATTCAATAACTTTGTCGACGAGCGTCCAGTGGATTTCCCAACGATTCGAATTTCTTTTGGAGATGGGTCAACTTGGGGATTTTATCAGGTATCAGAGGAAAACTTAATTATCAAATGCTTATCTTAGCCTACACTAAAATTCAGTGGATCAAACATTTCCTTTAGATCATCCCCCACCCGCGTTGTGTGCGATGTTCAGCTCCCCTCGTCGCAGCTCAAACAAACTCCACGCAGCCGATTCTCATCGAATTCCCGTTAAAGGAGGAATCCGGATGGAAGTCAGTGATCTTTTTATGAGCAATAAACTAAACAAATTTGATTCCAGATACCCAGAGTGTGTCCACTACATATCATCGGATGTTGAGCAATGGTCGACAAAAGGCGCAACACTTACTGGATTGAATGCCTCTCATGCAGCTTGTCTTTTTCGATAAACCTGGTCTCTACACAATTCTCATGAAAGTCGATAATTGGAGTTCTAGTGGGTTTTAAGAAAAATTAGTTAAAACTGAGTAAAAAATATCGGTCATCAAATCGATTCTATTTATAATTTTCACATTGAAGCACTGTTTAAAGAAACTTGATTTCAAAAGGTAAGTAGTTTCAGAATAGAGCTGATTGGTCTTGCTATTTTTGAGACTCAAAACAGCTAAGAAGTTAGTTAAATGAGCTAAGCAGCTAAGTTTACCAAGAGGACACAGATGCTCTTAAAACCAAATATCTGAGCTGAATAGTATCTAACTAGACTTGAAAATCTTTTCCAGATCCGTCTCACGATGGCCACCTCGCCTGTTGCCCCGCTGTCAGCCGTTTCCGCTCTCCTCGTGCTTTCCTTGGCTCTCGTATTCACCCTCAGCCGACGCGGTTTGAGGACAAGACCTGTCCGCGTGGCTTTCATCCTCTCTTTCGCCGCTCATGCAATCAACATCTATTTCTTGCATCGAATCACTATTAATACGGTAAAGATAAAGAAAATTCATTTAGATCGTATCGTCGTATCGAATATGTAAAGAAGTTCAGCAAGAAATCCCATTTCCAGATTTTCTGCGGTGTTCGCAATGCGATCCTCTCGTTCACCTCTGTCTCTCCATTCTGTTGGCTTTTCCTTTACTCGTTGCACATTTACCGAATGCTAGCTGAAGGGAATACACAAAACTAGGTACTAATCTAGGTTTTCTGAGATTGCTTATCTAGAATTGGAATACTTCAAACCAGGCCAGGCCAGGCCAGGCTTAAGCCAGGCTAGGCTAGGCCAGGCTTATGCTAAAACCTGGATTCTATCTAGCTTTTTAACTTTTAACCTAGCTTACAAACCTTAGCTTTGAAAAACCCTACCTTTAAGAGCTTAAAGAATCGATATTAGCATCGAACTTGAAGATATTCACGAAATCTTGAATTTCTAGTGGCGCCGTGTGTCTCCTGTTGGGATTGGCGCTTCCTTGTTGTCTCTCCGTTTGCTCATTCCTTTTATCCGCCTCTTGCTCACTCGCTCCATCACAGTGGCTCTTCTGGACGATCGCTTTGCCAATTGCATTGTTTTTATTGGTAAGTGTCGATTTAAACAAGTTTCTATCGTGTGAGAGTTCTCTGTCAGAGCTCTAAAAGTCAGATTTCTAAAGTCAGAGCTCTAAAAGTCAGATTTCTAAAGTCAGATTTCAGCTCTCATTCTATGCGTGTGCCACCTGTCTCATCATATCAAGAGACAAGCATTTTGAGGTAAAAAAAGGATAATTCTAGTGCTAATGTTAAATGCTAATGAGTTCTAACTAATCGATTAACTCTAAATCCTCCAGGTCGTTGTGGTGAAGTTCGCGCTACGAAAAGCTTTATGCCAACATTTTCTTCTGGTAAGCAACACACTTCAAACTATTGAGCTCATTTTTTTAAAAGAAATCAAGTAGAAATTCCTTTTACAGACAGCCCTTACAATCGTCTACACGATTGGGGCATTGATTCTGCCATCAACCTCATGGTTATCCATAGCTTTATCCGAAGTGATCACCTCGATTCTCCTCCTTTTAACTTCACTCTATATTCTCATTTGGTCGTGCGCTTTTGGAAGATCGGTGAGTAAAACTAGTTTCTTTTTTATTCAATTCTAGTTCATATTCTTAGTCTTCTTAGTCATTCCTTCTTATCATTCCCAATCTATTTTCCACTACTGCAAAAAAGATTGATCAAGACCGAAAAGGTTTTTTTACGTGAATCAAGAAGATCTAGCTATAAAATCCATTGTTATTTAAGTTAAAGAGAAAAGAAAATTGTTTAGGAGTCTCAATCGGATCGCGTGGAAACGTTATGGGTTCGTGGAGATCCGCCAAAAAGTGGTGTCATCGATCACGAGTGTACCTCTCCATTGCTCTATCCAGGTTTGAAATTGCCAAAAGTTGAGTTAACTAAAGCTTTGAGAGATTCCTTGCAAGTCTATTTCAAAAACGATTTCAGATGAAGATCACGGCAGTGGCCCGGGCGGCAGTGTTGGTTGGGTGTCCGGTTCATCGGATCGTGTCCCATCTGATCCTGTAGTAATGCCGAGGCCAATGGGTGGATTGTCATTGCGAGAGAACCCACTTGTTCCATCAATTCTCTCACCAGCTAACAAAATCCTCCGAACCGGGGAAACAGTAGAATATGGTAAGGAAATCGAAAATAAAACACTCTAACCTGCTGGCTTTTGCACTAATAGCTCAAGATTTAAAGGCTAATAACTTTATTTAGAGACAATATTATTATTCATTTTTTTTATTGTTTTAACCCATTCGAAACTTCTGCAGCGAATAATCGCTGCAGCAAAAACTCAGAACGGACCGCAGCGATTATTCGCCGCAGCGCTAATTGAGCTATTTTCATTCAATTAATTGTTTTTTTCTTTTGTTGTTTTTCAGCATTGCATGTATATTCCAATTGTAGCAGATCTACAAATTACGTGGGCAAAGAAGATGTTTTTATATTTACCCGGAATCAATTTGCAGTTCTGGTTTTACTTTGAAATGTTCCATAATAGCTCTTAATCTTATAAAGCCATCTCCCGGGCAGGATCCAGTTCATTATCACAAAAAACGCAGGTTTCAGCTTAATATTCACTCTTGTTTTGACATAATGTGGGATATTGTGGGAAAATCCTCCCAATCCAGGCCTGCTACCCAGTAGTCGATACAGAGCCAGGTGAAGACTTGGTGCACTTGAAATCCCGCCGGCTTTTCCTTTTTCCCGCGCTATTGATTCGCCTACCAACATGCTGATTAATTTAATGTCGATAAAAATAAGAATAATATAGGATTTGAAAAGTACTGAAGTCAAATCCAAATCGTTCCATTCATCAAATAATGGTGTAGGAGACTCCTCTTGCAATTCCTTCCAACCAAAAAATAAACGGCTGAGTCAAAATGTCGAAAAAAAAAGGGGTTTGGTCCGGAGACGAAAAGAAAAACGCTGGTTTCTGAATGGGTTAAAGAGGATAAAGCTTAGGCTTCAAATGATACTGGGTCACGTTTCAACACGATTTGATCTGAGCCTTCAGACAAACGATCAAGATGACTTGGTCGCTCGATTTTATGAAATCAAAATGGATCAAAATGCAAAACTCAAATTATCAATTCTCAAAAAGTGTCGACGTTTTCTTTCTATAAAAAGCAATAGTCAATATTGTTTTGCAAAGCTGAAATTCTGAGCATGAAAGCAAAGGTTTTGTTTCTGAATGAAAGCTAGTTAGTAAATGTTATTTGTAAAGAGTTAAAGAAAAGAAGTTAAACGAAAGCTAAATGAGGAATCTCAAAGGTTAAAGATACTTATTTTTGTTCTCGTTCTTGTTAAAGCCGAAGCTAAAGGAAGTTGTAAGAAAGACACTATTTCTTTGCCTCGTTCTTGTTAAAGGAAGTTAAAGACACTATTTCTTGTTCTCGTTCTTTTTAAAGGAAGTTAAAGAAAGTTAAAGAAAGTTAAAGAAAGTTAAAGAAAGTTAAAGACACTATTTCTTGTTCTCGTTCTTGTTAAAGGAAGCTAAAGGAAGTTAAAGACACTATTTCTTGTTCTCGTTCTTGTTAAAGGAAGTTAAAGACACTATTTCTTGTTCTCGTTCTTTTAAAGGAAGTTAAAGAAAGTTAAAGAAAGTTAAAGAAAGTTAAAGAAAAGCTAAAGCCACTCATTTCTGTTCTCGTTCTTGTTAGAAAGGAAGCTAAAGCAGCTAAAAAAAGATACTCATTTCAGCCTGCTCCAAAAGGCTAAAGTGAAGTTAAAGATGCCAACACTATTTTGGCCTGTTCTCAAAGTTAAAGCAGCAAAAGAAAGCCAAAGAGCCGTTACGTCGTCGCCTCTGCTCCTGAGCTGCGAAGCCAAAAGGAAGTAAAGACACTATTCTGTTCCGTCTGAAAGGAAGTTAAAGACACTATTTCTTGTTCTCGTTCTTTTTAAAGGAAGTTAAAGGAAGTTAAAGAAAGTTAAAGAAAGTTAAAGACACTATTTCTTGTTCTCGTCTGAAATAGCAGGGAAGTAAAGACACTATTTGGTTCCGTTCTTGAAAGGAAGCTAAAGGAAGTAAAGACACTATTTCTGTTCTCGTCTTGTAAAGGAAGCCAAATAGAAGTAAAGACACTATTCTGTCTCCCGTTCTGTAAAGGAAGCTAAAGGAAGTAAAGACACTATTTCTGTTCCGTCTAAAGGAAGTTAAAGGAAGTTAAAGGAAGCTAAAGAAAGTTAAAGACAGTATTCTTTCTTGTGCACTGGAGTGGGCTTACAAAAGCGAGTGGGCGTCTTTATCTTTAAGTACAAACTAAAGAAAAGCAATCGATCATTTGGAAAATCTAATTCGTTTTCCTGGTATCTAAACAGTAATTTTATCGAATTGAATTGAAAATTAGCAAAAATTAGCAAATTTCAGCGAATCCCGGGAGTTTATCACGTTTCGCAAAATAGGAGGACGAGATGGACGACGCTTACTACACGTATCAACGCCGGAAACAACTCGAACAACTTTATCGATAAAATCCCTATTTATCATTCTAATCGTTTCTATAAACTTTAAAAAATTAAATCTTTTAAAATCTTTTTCCTTTCGAAATGTTTTCCTCATTCAAATCATTGTGATCACTTCCCATTTTAGCAAATCTCACTTTTCAAAAAACTCAAAAGAAAAAAAACGCATTTGCATTTAATTTACGGTGATTTGATTGAATTTGAATTCAATTTGAATTCAATTTAGCATCTATCTCACATTTAATGTGCTATTTCTCAAAACCGGTTCTTTTTCTCGAACTTTCAATCATGTTTCACTTTCTGAGCTTTCCCCCGATTTCCTCCGATAATCGAGCGAGCCTTTTTACCATTTTTAAATGTAAATTCGTTTCTGTCTATTAAAATTCGAATAAAGATTTATTAAAATAAAACAATTTTTAAAGATCTTTTAACAAAGTACAACAAGCTTTTAGGGCTTCGG